AAGTTACTTTCATTGGATTGTTATTACACGTAACATAATTTTTATTATGATAGCATTTGTTTATGGAATTTGTTAAACAGATTTGATCAATTCTCCTCGTAAATACAGTAGTAATTAGTTGGGTTAAATTTCAGTAGCATGATTTGCTACAGCTTAGCATACACCCTGTGAAAAAATAAAAATTGTAACGCGATCGTTGCCTGTAACAAAACAGGGCGGAAAAGTAGGATGATAAATTTATCGTGCGTTCACACGTCAAGTCCTTGCTTGCCTTCTAATAAGCGTTACGGTGTCACGATTACTGTAATGTCATTATCACATTCGCGAAAGCTTGTCAAATCTTCTTGCTTTTAAGAACGTTTACGAGCATAAAAAGGTTGCGATTTTTTTTTATTTTTTTCATTACGCGGACACGATTATTTGCACGTTCACCGGAAATGAATTCACAGTCTTTACAAAGGAAAACGGTCATTTGATCGCTCTTTTAGTATTCGGGCGCTGATGAAGAGCGCGGCAAAACCGTGGTGGCAATTTCTGTCAACGATTTCTGTAGAATTGTAAGCAATCGGGTGCGTTTCCATTGCTGTGTTAACTACAGAGTATTCGATATATTTCTAAGGTGAAATACACTGAATGTAACTGATTTTTTGCTGCAAAATTACAACGGCGACAAAGCTTTACAAAAAGCTTCTACGCCTCTGGCGCTAATGAAATAATACAGCCTCGAAGAAGAATGATTTACTACAGATAGCATCCAATTTAAGATGCAGAAATGCCCCATCTATTGTTGTCTGTCTTATTTGTTGTTGACAGAAATAAAACAGGCAAACCTTAATTTAGAAATGACCTGACCTATATTCTTCCATGTCATTGGTTTGTTGAGGAACTAAGTTGCTGAAGAGTAAGTTTCACATTACAAACCAAATCTGATTGGTGGACACAGTAACTTATATCCCAAAGAACTAATTAAAAATGTATTTGAGATCTGATTGGTTCATTCAGGAACTAAGATACCTAAAATTTCAAGTACACATTAAAATGGTGAAGTACACATTTAAATGGGGAGGTGTTAAGATTTATGCCGCCGAGGATCACTTTTGAATGAAACAATTCTCCATTTTCTTCAAGATAATTTCCAGGGCTAAATTCCGAGGGTCCAGTTAGTAAGAAAAAAGTCCCATGGCAGGCTCGACTTCCACACACATCTGCTGCGTAGCAGCAGATTTTTGTCTCAAAAATCTGCCAAGGTCCGCTGTTAGATGCAACATATTGTGGGATTGTATTAGTGAGGGTGAATGTAGCTTTCATGAAATTTATATTGAATGTATTTATGGCAACAGGATTCATGTGCCCCCTGCTGAGAGGCTCTTGTTGTATCACTCTTTTTTCAGGCATTGTTCAAACCAGGAACACCTGGAATAGAGGTATTCTAAGTGTTTTGCTACTTGTTTCTGGAGAATTAACCAAAAAGAAGAGAATAGATAAATAAAGAAAAATTTTCAGCTCAACTGTCTGTGCTCTGGGGACACTGGATTGTTGGTGAACAGCAAACAAGTTTTGTGATGAGTTAGTTCTTCTGCTTCTGGCTGCAACCCTGATAACTTAGTTTTCATTGGATAATATACGTCACAGTGAAAGTGGAGTTGGAAGAAAATAGACCTGTTCTGATTTTTCCTGCAGGCTTGGATTCCTTCATGCTTGTAACTTCAATTTTTGATTTTCACTTGGTCGGAAGCACTCTCATGACTCCGACTATGACTCCAAATACAGTTCCGCCACAGGTGCAAACCAGCCCTGGGTGAAAAAATCAAAGACTTGCAAATATCACAAGAGTATTGCCTGGAGGATTCCTCCAGTTTCTTCTTTTTACATCTCTTCTGCTGTATTTTCCAATGAAGGGTGCTTGCTGTGCAGTCACTTTGTATGCAGAATAAAAGGAGATATTTCTGTCCTAATCAAACAGTGAAATAAAGTAGGGAGCTTGTGCAGATGATAGTAACTTGTGTGACCATGAGTCCCTGGGGGATCCTCAGGAAGTAACTGATGAATTTCTTGTCCCCAACTGATACCCAGAAGACCCTATGGACATCTGTTCCCTGCAAAAAATGGTAACGACCAGGGTGACCAGGCCTTACATTGCCTGCAATGAGGAGCCTCATGATGAGTTTCTTAACATAAAACACACAAAACAAGACTGAAAAATAGTTTCAGTTGAGGAGATGTAGTGATAAGGGTGGGAATACTTCAGTGTTTTTGAAAAGATCTCTGTATGGAGATTCCATGATGTTACTCCATTCTTTCTTTTTTCATTTTAATGGTACTTTTAATCTTCTGGTTGGGAGACACGATGGCCTCATGGTATGCTGACTCCTAGCCAAAATGTCCGTGTTCAAGACCAGGGATCCATTTCTTGAAGGTTCCAGTAATTTAACCGGCCCATAAAGCTGTTCTGTTTTCCTTCATGGTGGGGTTGCAAAAGTTTTTAAAAACTTGTACAATAAAACCATCAGCTAAAGAAAGAAAATGGACGGGTTAGAGTGCCTAAACCTGCTTCTCTCAACCATAGATTCCTATTTCAATATGCTCTCCGGCTGCTACACCACACAATAGCGCTTGCCAGCCGGGTAGACAAAATGCGGGGGAGGGGGAAAAAACCCAATAAGTCTCGAGTAGACATGGTAGATGGGCCACTCGGCCTTTTGCAGAATTTACCTTCCATTTATATACTCTCTGGCTTCAGAAACTTGGTTGGATAATGCAAACACCAACAGCACCACAAGAATAATTGAAAATGGCCAAACATCTCCTATGTTAAGCATCGTAGCATGCTGTTAAATGCAGTCAGTTGCAGTTGCTGTAAAAAAAAATGGAAAATAATAAATAAAAATAAAGCGGAATAAATCGGTAAACAAGACGAGAGACTGAGTCAGCAGAAGAAGAAACCTGCTGGCTTAAAAACGACAAAAAAAATCATGCTTTTGGCGTGGCGAGCTCAACAAGAAAAATTTTGATTCTAGAAGTGACCAGAAAGTGCAATTACTCACCACTAAATCACAAGCTCTGTAAGTCATTTCTTCAATAATAAAGTTTCTTTCCAAACGTTTCACTGCACGTTGTTTCCGCGTGAAATCAATCTTTTTTAGATATTAAAATGCGCAATACATAACGTATTAGAGGGTTTCTTAAAGGAAAAAAGCTTCTGACTTGGCTCATAGCTTCACGGTAAGCGCTGGCATATCTTCAAGATGCAGTCGAAAATTGTTTACATCCGCCATTATGAATCGTTATGCGGATAACCGCTGTACCTTAAGTTCCAGACTCCCTCCCCTGTTATTCCAATTCCCGTTCCCTTTTCAGTTAGGTTTTCACAACATCCAGACTCTATGCCGATTGGAAAAGTAGCTTTCAATCAACAGCCTTTGTTACAACATCCAGACTCTTTGAAGAGAATTTGTTTGTGTCATAATAAAATTTACCTGACCCTTCATGATGCCCTGTACTATTGTTCTGACCCCAACTCCTCCTCCAGTTGATTGGCAGTCAGGTCTAAATCAAATATGGACCTTTTGTATCTTCGTTCACTTCTAAATGTTTGTATCCTTGATAATTCTTATTATTCTTATTCTGAATATAAAAAAAATGCATCGGTTAAAAGTGAAAGGGACCTCCGTTTACGATGAATAAACATAAGAATACATTGTCTAGCAGTGCAACTTCCTGCTCTAACAAACGATTTGCAAAAGCTTAAATTTTTAAAGTTTTTTTGCTGAATGAAACGTCAATATGTACAATGATAGGCAAGTGCAACACAGTGTGGACTTTATAACGTACAAAAGTCAATTTTCATCACAAAAATGTTGTGAAACGACACTGGCAAGCTGGATCTTAATAAATTTATGCATAAAAGTATTTTTCCTTCATATGACGGCTCGGTCACGGGATTCCCCAAGCTTTCATTTATTAATGAATAAAGATAGCTATTTTCATGAAGCATCTGCTTTAACAGATCGAAAAAATACTGTTACTGGTTCTATCCAGAAAGGACGATCGAGTAAGATTGTCGAGCGACCACGGGCCGTTCTCGAAGTTAGAAAGTTATGAAAAATTAGTATTCATAAGTCAAAGGTGGGTCTTAAGGTGTCAACACGCCTCCTGAAAGCCTGCGAAGTCTATTTCATTTGTGGGCACTGGGCTCAAATGGGGAAGCGGACTTTATTTTAAATGAATTTCGTAATAGAAGCCTTAAAAAACTGTTTGTTAAACAGTCGAGGGATTAACACAATCAATTGAAAACGACTTAAGATGGGTCTTACAGAGTGAATCAGAACAAGAGTTAGTCAGCATTGTTACAGATTGCGATCTTACTTGGGTCATGCCTAGATATTTTCGATTTGAAAAACCGCAGACCACCAGTTTCTCGCTTCCTTTTCAGTTCTCTTTTCCTCCGTTTCTGTTCATCTGTTATTCTTTACAGGAATCGATCTGCTTGAATTAAAGACACTTGACGGTATTGCCGAATGACTTGCATCAAAAAAAATCCCACGCACCATCCGCCTACCCTATGATCCATCGATTACGTGGTCGGTACACTCCGGAAATGAAATCCTTAAGTTGGTTACAATAAACAAGTACAAAGCAAAAAGTGGCATTTAGCCTCACGTGATGGAAATAACACCGCGTGAGAGAAAATTGGATCAAAGAGATCGATTAAAAAATGTAACTTTTCCTAAATACTTACAAAGCAAATCAATTGCATCCATTACCTCATGAAACCAAAAAAAAAGTTACCATTTACTCAGTCCACTTTCCTATTAATGTTATTGGATTTAAAACTAAAATTGAATTTTAAAAAGTTACAGGCTTTCCATAGCACAAGAAAAAAACGGGCGTCGAGAAATGACATCACCGGAAGTACCCCGTGCATCCAATGTGCCTTTAGAAAATGAATGTGGGTTGATTGCGAAAAGAAGCATTGCTAATGTGTTTAGTTGATCGAAATATAACTTATTAGTGTCTTTGAGATATTTTAACGACGTTGGATATCATAAAGAGGTTCATTGATAGATTGGAAATCTGCCGCTATTTAAATTAATTGTAATTACCCTGCACAAATAAGCTCACTTCCGGGCACTAAAACACCATATTTGGAAGGAGAATTATTGTCTTGTACTTTGACCAATCACATCAAAGATTACACCAGGGCCCTTTGAAGCCATTTTGGTGCTAGCGCGGAGGTAATTTTAGACACGCTTTGTTGTAGTGTTTTAGTTTTGAATTTCTTCTTGACTCGTCTGCCATCGAAGAGTTTTTAAACGAAGGGGGAGTGTGGTTTGGTCCGCTTTCGTGAGCCCGTCCAAACGCAGATCGCGTTAGAATGTCTCGCCGTTATGACATGGGTGAGCAAGATACTTCGGCGACTCGTGCAGTCTCCAATCGTCGGAAAGTCACCGTCAAAGTTTGTATGCTCGACGATTCCGTGGTAAAATTTGATTTAGAGGTAAGTGCTTATGCTTTGACCGCCATGAAAGCTTACCTTAGGGCAAGAAACGTGCACATAATTTTTATGTTGTCTATTTTTGTCGGCATTTCATCAGTTCTAAAAGTTCTGAAATTCTCTGATGTGCTTCGCAGCCCGCGATAATAAATACAGTTAGCAGCTGTCTTGAGAAAATAATAATTCCTGGTTATCCATGTGTTTTGTGCTGAAATTAAAAGTAAACTTTCGGTATTCCTCGCCCGACTGTGCTTTCAGTTTGATGTGCGGATTTCTTTAATTTCTTGTGGCCCGATGTTGTCGTTGAAAAATATGCACAAATTGGCATTATCGATCGATGAAGCGTTCGAAGTATTCGATATCGATAGCTCCGAATGTTTTGTGAATGTAATTTAATGGCTTTCCACGTGCTTAATTTTACCTTCAATATTTTTTTACCTTAGATTTCCTTTTAATCTTTGTTGTGACCCGAAAAAACATGCTGTCTTTCATTTTCCGTGGAACTGGGTTCAATCAGTGGAAATGTTATGTCCATCGGACACACACACTCCGTTTGACTTTGCCTCGATAGGGAATTCTCAGGAAATTGTCATTTTTTCGAAATCCAGCGATATTGTCAATGAACAAACTATTCTCTATAGGACAAGATCCTTCCAGAAAGGACAAAGAATAAAAACTGAAACCTATGGGAGAAAACGAAATCTATCTTCAGTAAAAAAGCTCTTACTGCATCGGAAACCATTCTTTGTTCCTGTTGGAGTCCAAAATAAACTGTTCTTGATTTCTGTTGCCGGCCCTTTCTTATCGATTATTCAAGTTTTAAGGCATTCAGGAATTATGTATTTAGGCGTTCGTCTCGCTCCATCTTAATATTAGCGCCGCTAAACATTTTTTTAGTAATATTTAGTGGATTATGTAGCGGTTTTGCCTCCGCTATTCGAACAATTTTCAGTAAGTCACTTCCGAAGTGAAACAGATTTTAGCATATAATTTCCATTGACAGCCATTTCATCAAAGATCGATATGCACGGAAGATGTTAGAAAGGTTGTTGACTTAGATAAGAGTGAATCATTTATTTGATGTTTGTTCTTTGCCGGGATGTCGTAGAATAGGCGATGGTGCGTCCCAAGGACATGTTAATCCGTGAAGATTTGTGTCGATGAAGGTGTTGGGTATATTGAGAATCCTACCTTTCAGTTTATTTAGAACATTTCTAGCTTTTGTTTTATCGTTCTGTTGTTATCATGACAGCAAACTATGACTGGAGAATTTTTTCTCGGTAATGTTTTTATTTTGATCGGCATCTATAAAACGTTAGATTCAAGAAGTCAACAGCGAGTTGCAACTGAAGATACAGTTATGTTTCATTTTTAATTTCATTTGCTCAATTACTTTAATTTTCATTTGCTCAATTGCTCAGTGTCTGCTCCTTTTCAGTGTCGAAAAAATTCCTTAGTTTTTAACTGAGCGGTATGATTATGCATCTTCATGTATAAACAGTGTATTACATGCTAAGCCTCTTTCAAGGTGTTTGAAGGCAGCTAATTATAATTAAAATCCGAACTGATATTTCATGGAACGTTGTTTAACTACCTTAGATGCTAGAAATTCCTTGACCCGGAATTCTCAGCATCGAGAGATTAGACATGAACTTTGTTTACACAGATGTACAGTATATGGTGTGACTTCAGGACTCTTTTTGCCTTTGCTAATTCATTTCTGCTTTCAGATAGGGTAACTTATCATTCTTTCAATTGAGCCTGCCTAAAGCAGGCACCCTTAATTAATTACCACCATATCTTAATCTCTGACTAGTGACTTCTTGGTTATTCTCTGCAAAATACTTTTTCAGCCAGCAGTTGATTATTCATTTGCATTAACAATTTTCGTATGTTGCACATTGCAAGAATTTCTTGATTTGACACATGTGGCTAGGTCTTACAGTATTGTTTTTTTTTTTTTATGGAAAGCTTTCCATAAAATGTAAGATATATGGGAGTTCTGTTCTCTGAAGGATTTGCAGCTTTTGATTTTACACACATTATTTTCCTTACCTAAGACTGCACTCATTACTCTAACCCCAAAGACAACACAATTGTAGAACTGTTTATTGGTCTACTTGTTTTGGGTGACTCTAGGAATGTTTGGCAAGTGTGTCAGCGAAATTGGAGCAAGGGTGTGAACATGAACATGTTTATGTTTTTAAAAAAGTGTGGATTGGAAATACTTTGCCACCATGCCTCATTGAGAATTGTAACATTATTCTTGTTTCTCTCAGTCTCAGTAAGAATGGACAGGTGCATTGTGGCCATTTATATATGTTGTGGTTTCGTTTTACTTGTAATTGTGTCCTTTGTCAAATGTTAATTTTCTTTTGTTTTTGTAGCCAAAAGGTAAAGGCAAATCTCTATATGACATCGTCTATGAATGCCTGAACTTGGAAGAACGTGAATACTTTGGACTAAGTTTTTATGACAAAAATGATAATTTGGTAAGTGCCTCATTGTATTTATAACAAGTTTGAAACAAGGCAAGATTTGCATCCTGGTGATCTTGTTCTCAATGTCAAATCAGAAATGAAAGCTACAAAGTATAAGCAAAAAAATGACTTAATTGGAAGACTGCAAATACAATCATGACAATTCCCTTGTTTACTTTTTACCACCACATCAGGATGCAGCTCAAGTTGCTTTGGTTTTAATTTAGAAAGAACTTTGTCTTAGTTGTGCACTTCAGATCTTGAACTTTGTTCCAGTTATCTGGAAGTACAATGTGTTTTTGAGGCTTAAAGTTTAGTATCAGGAAAATGGAGGGGCCTTATGGAATCATATTCTCAACATCTAAATAAAACTGGCTCAGGGCACTGAAATTTATCCAGAGAATTCTCCAATCTCTGATGCCCAGTAATCCCTGATACATGTTCTTGAGAAGATGGTCCCAGTAAACATATTGTACATGTAAATAACAAGCTAGATTAAAGTTGAGTTCAAAAATTGCACTTTAGATAAAAGGCCTCCATGAATCATTTAAGCACATGGATTACGCCAAATGAAAAACATTGGTTTCCAAAAACTTTTCCTAATGTAAATCACACAGTTTTTGCAACATACCACTTCCACCTCCATCACCAATGTACCACTCAAACTACCTCAGAGTTTTAAAATTCCATTGGTTGGGTGTATACAGTGTAGTTCACATTTAGATTTCTTCATTTTGGAAAAAAAAAATAGTCTGGCAAGGGTGAACATTTGTATATGTAATATATGCATTGTATGGTTAGGTGTGATAAGAAATATTTTTGTAGATGTAGATATAAAATTTCTAAATGCCTTCCCATCCTACGGTTGTGTGAATGTGAAAAATAAATAAGTAAAAGAGCAAAATAATATATTAATATATTTTCTGATGTGTGTTATTATATGCAACTATGTCTTCTACATCAATACTACATGTATATTCGACCCTTGTACATGTATATAACATGATGTCATAAACAAAAATATTTATGATGTTATTTTGTACTTTCAAAGTGTAACATAGAGGCACTTGAAGAATACTGCCATTGATGCACTTTTGCCTAGCTGTTTTTCACTCTTTCTTTGGGGTGATAGTACTATATATATAAAAATATAGGTATATATATATATTTTTTTTTTTCGTATATAACAATTTCTTTGACCATTCAGTCTTATCTTTTTCCCCTGATCTGAATCTTTGTTTACTTTTAGTACAGCCATTTCCTTTCAATAATATTGTTTGGCATAAGTTCAATGTCAACTTAAAGTGCAAAATTTCTCAGAAATTTTTTGACTTTGATCACATTGTGTAGAAATTGTGTTGTCATTATATTTTAATTTCCTTAAAAATAATTTTGTACAATTAAAAAATACATTGAAAAAAAATTTGTGATAAATATCAATAGTGTAATGATTTGATATGCATTCTGCAAAAAAAAGAGAGAGGAAAATCTGGAAGATTTCAGTTGCACACCTCAATTTTTTTCTCTCTAGAGGTGGACTGTTTGTTTTCAGAAATCAATAGTTGCATTGTTAAGTCAATATTTTCTTTAAGTATACTTTTATGTAAATGCACAAAATTTTTATGTACATAGCTCACAACTGATTTTTTTGTTTTCATTAATCTTCCCTCTGGCAATTTCCTTTGTAACGAAAAAAGAGCATTTAAGTGTTTTTTCTTTGTTACATTCTGTTCTTGATGATGTTTTAACCCTCAAGCTAATTTTTGTAATCACAGTGAACCTATCACAGACATGATGGCCTCCTCTTCCATTCAATTCCCCTAATTTGGCACCTGCAATAAATATTGCTATGGATATGTCTTCATCTGGGAAAAAAGCAATTTCTTAAGATTTCTATCAGCACTTTTTGCATATTATTGTTAAATTGTTGTTTTTCTTTTTTTTCCAATAAAAACTCTTATTACTGGTTGTAATAATAATTTACCAAAGATGCACAGGGTAGTTGCTTTCACAGGGTTAGCAGTACATTGATTTTCTTATAAGCTGTGGGTTTTTTCTTTTTCTTTTTTCACCTGATTTAAATATTAAATGATATTTTAAGATTATTTCTTTTCAAAAGGTACATCAGATGTGCGTCTGCAAAGGAGGGTCTTTCTTGAAGTTCAAAATAATGATTTAAAAAAGTAGGGATATTAAAAAAAACAACAAATAGAGAAAAGGACTTTTAATGAACCAAAGAGGATATAATTTGATAACTGGTTTATAACAAGGAGGTAGGGAAAATGTTGTGACATTTTTGCCAAGATTTTTGTTTGATAAGGAAAAGTCACCTGTATCTGTGGCTATATTTTTAGCTTGATAGCGTAAGAGCTTGTGAACAGTGAGCTGGTCATTGCACTGTGCATAGAAAGTTTTTTTCTAAGCTTGCCTTCAGGCAAGTTGAAACCATTTCCCACCAGCATAGGGCCCTAAGTATGGGCCTTTTGTCATCTGCAAACAGAAAAAGGAAAAAATGTTTCATGCCCTCCAGGCAAATGTTAAATCAAGTCAGGTAGCGCAAGTGGAAAATTAACTAATACTGGGTTATCTATCAGGACTTGTTGGCATGTGGTCATAGTTCGGGTATACACGTACATGCTTAAGCTACTATAGGCAAGTTATTTACATGTATCCTTCTTTTTTGGGACCTTTTCCATGGAAAATTACTTGCAAGTTTAGCTTTGCCTCATGCCCATGACTTATTCATTTGTTTAATTCACTTTGTTTTTTGGCTGTTATTTACTTGTTTATTTAGCTATAACATCCATATAAAAATCACTAGTGATCCTTGTTATCTGATTGGCTCTTATTGGTGCAATTTATTAACAAATTGCACAGTTTTTTAGCTTCAAATCCAATCTTTTTCTCTTTCATTTCCATTATTCTCATGAACATAATGTGTGATTCAGGAGTGATACTGAAGGAAAAATTGATTCTTTTGTTTGATTTTGAAATCAAGCATATGATTCCAGACCAAATGGCACCCCAATCGGTTCAATTACCATTATCATTTACTGAAGAAATGTAAAATGGTTTCTCTGTTTACATAGCCTGATGTAAACACGCTGGAGGTTGGGAGAACACTTGATAAACGTAGGAAACCACGAGGCGAAGCAGAGTGGTTTCCAGCTTATCGAGTGTTCTCCCAACCTCCCAAGTGTTTACATGAGGCTATGTAAACACAGAAACCATTTTACATTTCTTTTCTAAAATAACTAATGAAAGAGGAATGAAAACTGTGTTTACATACGCTCATGTAAAATTGTTTTATGGCCAATCAGAGCACACGTACTATTTGAATTATTTTATAAATGTATTTGTTTGATTTTCAAATGTTTGCTTAAAAAATGACTAGATTTCATCTGTGATTTTCAGTTTTGGCTTGACGATATTAAACCTCTTAACAAACAAGTCAAAGGTGAGAGCAGTGTACATTCTATATTCATGTTATAAAATTTTATCTAAGAAATGTTATTAAATTTTGCCATGAGTTACTTATCACAGGGAAAGGTGTTATATTTTGTTGTCGGACAATGTGCTATGGTTGATGAAATTCTCATCAAATACCTATACTTTATAAATCTTTCTTTTAGATCTCCGTTCAACGCTATTTAGATGCTGTGTGAAGTTTTATCCACCAGATCCTGCAAGTCTTCAAGAGGAGTACACAAGGTACCTTTATCTTCTGTACACTTGATTACAAACATTATCTCTGAATGTACAAACATCTTCAATCTCTTTTGACAGGTTTGAATTAATGGTCCATTTGCAAAGGGTTCATGTCTGCAGCGCCTGGGTTTACAATGGACTGATCTTCCTACATGTACATGTTCTTCACTTCTCTTGCAAATATGGGTTTTGTGTATGCATCTATGAACTTATAATCCAAGCTGTACTGGTAATGGCCTACCTGTCGAGATGCTATCAACCTGTATATCATACATGTACATGTAGGTGCCTTATTAGGCTTACAGTAATTCTTACAGGAAACTTGAATTTTACAACTTACTGATTTTTTGTTTTGTGCCCACAGGTATTTGTTTGCTCTTCAGATAAAGAGAGATCTTCTTAGTGGAAGGTGATTGTTCATTCATTCTTTCTTTCTCTTTTTTTTTTTTTTTCCTTTTTTTCGCTTCTTAAGGAAAGTCCTCCTTGTGTGAGTGCATTGTGCACCAACCAATTGTAGTTCTTCTTATGTGGTTATTAATTTTAGCAATAACATTTTTATCCCCCCCTTCTAAAATTTCAGATTAAAATGTTCAGAGAATACAGCAGCCCTTTTGGCGTCCTATGTTGTTCAAGGTATGTATAACTTAATCTCATTTGTTTTCTAGCTGCGTGAAATTAGGAAATGCTTCAAGTTTTTGGGGAAGTTCTGGGTGAACATCACTTTTAATTCCAGATTCTTATCTGAGAAATCTATATGTACAGTGTAGCTGAGATGGGATCTTTTATCTTTTATCTGCTAGACCAGTTTCTCACACAACTGAAAGCTTCTTAACCCTTAAACTCCCATGAGTGACCAAGACAGAATTTTTCCTTATATTTTCAATACAATATTAAGCAGACAAGTGATGAGAATTAATAACATCAATTAGGTACTTATGAATTGATCCAATACCAAATTCTCTGAACTAACATTATAAGAATTGTAGGGCGTGCAGTAAGGAGAATTAGTAATGAGATCTTGGGAGTAAAGGGTTAACTTTTCTATTCTCAAAAAAATAGAAATCCAAAATTGAGTGTTACCACTGAAATATGTACATGTATGTTAAGGGATCTCACTAAGTATTGAAGTGGTTTTTGAGTGGAGATACATATATCACTGACAGTAGTGCATGTGGCCAAATGTAACTAGTCAGGGATCTACATCTTCACTAATACCATCAAATTAGCTCAGCTATAACAGGTGTTGTGGGTTCTCTGTCTTATTGTTCTCACCTTTTTTAGGTGAACTTAGCGATTATGATTCCATGTCGTGCAGACCAGGATATTTGTCAGAGCGTCAATTTTTCCCTGGTCAGGTATGTTTGATCAGAATTTGCCCGTGCATGAAGTTTATTTATATGGCATTTTCTTGTTTTTAATCTGTGTGCTTTCATCTCCTTTATTTTCTTACTCTTTTCAGACAGCTGACTCAGAAAAGAGAATATCCACTTACCACAAAGAGCACAGGTACTCATTATTTTGTACCCTCATGTGACAATTTTGTAGTCACAGGTTTGGTTTTAGACTCAACTACAATTTTTAAAAATAGGATTATTTTTCTTCAAAAAAATTGGTTCTCATTGATAACAGCTTTCTCAGAATTCTAACATGACCAATGATACCAACATTACATATTCAATTTTAACATTTTAACATTTTAACAGTACCATGTTTATGTTTTGTGAACAGCTCATTTGTCATTTTGTCCAGCTGTAGGTTTACAAAATGATATAATTAATGTACAGTTGCTGTGTCAGGAGCAAACTGTGCCTTGATTACAATTTTTTTTACTGTTGTTGAACTGTGGGACATGCTGTATTTCTAGGGCATTGAAATAAAAAAATATATTTGATAGATTGAAATGCATGTATATCAATTTCCTTTTGTTTCTATAGGGGTCTGTTGCCTGCTGATGCTGACTACAACCTCCTAGATGTAGCCCGAAGACTAGAGATGTATGGTATGATACTTTATCCTGCCAAGGTAAGAGATTCCTCTGAAATGCTGAACATTTTAGATCTGAATTGAATGGAGAGGAAATGAGGGGAAGAAAAAATTATACTAAGTTAACTTAACAATAAAATTCCCCTGCCCCCCCTTAGAAACACTCATCCTTCGCAAGTAATGGTGATGCACTACTTTTCTTGTTCCTTACAGGACAAAGATGATGTTGAACTTTACCTTGCAGCAGCTCATATGGGTGTCTGTGTATTTCAGAATGGGGCAAAAATTAATACATTTTCTTGGTAAGTACATGTAGGCGTGTTCTCTCTACTTTGAAATTCCTAATCCTCCCATCAGTACCCCTCACCTTTCCCCCTTTGTCACCCAAATTATGGGTGGGGTAATACACATTTTAAGGGTTTTGTTGATCATCTGCGCTCATTGGTTACATTTCATTTCTGTTTCAGGGCGAAAATAAGAAAGCTTAGTTTTAAGAGAAGAAGATTTCTTTTGAAGCTCCATCCTGAAATATTTGTAAGTTACAAATGTAGTGAAACATTATGGCCTGGCATTTATGAGAACAGCCATAGGGTTATTACTCAATTGAGTTTTGAAATTTATCTGGAATTCCTTTAGGTTTGCTTTATTCTCTCTGTGATTAGTCTAGAAAATGCACATTGTAGTCTAAACCAGTTAGATGCAAGACTAGAACTAATCCTTACTTAACTTTTTGTGTTTGCCTGTGCTTCAAGTTTGCCTGGTTTAACCTCTCGTTTCTCCTGAATGATTGATGCTGATTACCTTGGTTTTAGTTTTCTGAGACAGTCCAAAACTGCTCTGAACAAATCTATAAATAATTGGGTTGTTTTCATTTTCATCTTAGGGCCATTACAAGGATGTTGTGGAATTTCTAATGGCAAGCAGGAATGCTTGTAAGAGCTTTTGGAAAATTGCAATAACTACACATGCTTTCTTCAGGTAGGTCACTAACGTGTTAGTTTTTCTTCAACACCAGAGAATTGTGGATGACTCTTCTTTTTCGTTTAATGTGCTCTGTTAAAGCTGCATGTACATGTATATCATTAGTCTAGAATTTTGCACCACTGTTCAAATCAAAACATAAGCCAACTCCATTGTAAGACCATTGTTTTCAAGAGCTGTTTTCATATGTTGGGTTCTCTGTGGCTCCATGGGGTACAGTACCCACAGCTATTTAAGATCCATCCTGGATTCTCAATCCTCTGATTTCAAATATTTGGGTACTCTGAGGATGTAATCTTGAGCAAAGCTGATAAATGTTAAGGGTTGTTCAAAAATTTTTTGAGATCTTTCTAGAAATGTTGAAGTAGAGAAACAAAGCATGACTATCCATGCAATAACTTTTTCACAGAGCCTGAGGCCCTTAAGCATCTGTCTTCTTCATGTGATGGAAAATGTTACGGCACATATCTATCTCTCCATTATTTTTACCAATTTTGGAAAATAAATTTCATATCCATCATCTTTTTTCATCCAAACTTGTTTTTAATGAGTTATTAATGTTAACAACAATCACATACATACACATGTGATTGTGGATCACAACTCTGTGGATCGCATTCCAAGCATATCAATATTTTTTGTGCAAAACTGAACCATTGTGAAGAAAGTAAACCACAAGTAATTGATACGTTTTCTTGTAGACAAAATGTAAGCAACCCAGTTACCAAGTCTCGTCCAAGAATCCTCAGCAGAGGCTCATCATACAGATACAGTGGAAGAACACAGAAACAAATCATTGAAGGATGTCGAACAACTTTCAGACAACAGCCTCCATTTCAAAGGTTTGTTTCTCTGACTTCTTGTTCAAACATTCAAAAATGTTACTGTACTTGTTAATCTTCGTAGTTTAAATTGAACACTAAATGTATATACATCGGGTACATGTGTATTGAAAATGTTAGGAATGACTTGGTAACACTTCTTCACATGCAAGTATCAATTCCTACACTGTCATGTATGGAGGCTGTATAGCTACTGTGCTGAGCTTCAGATTAGAGGTCTGGCCCTGACCCTGGCCATGTGATTGTGTTGTGTTGTGTTGTGTTGTGGGGCAAGATGCTAAATTTTCACTGAGCTCTTTCTGTTCAGGCATGAAAAATCAATGGAAACTTGGATGAGCTCCAGCCAGATAGGGGCATGGCCATTATACTTGTACTTTTTCTTGTCCATGAGCAGATTAAGGACTAGGCTTGTACTCTTACATATGCTGACCTAGTACAGATGGAGTGACAGACAACAGAAATCTCCTCAATTTTGTGTTTAGTGTAATTTTTCCTTTTGTGTCATTATTTTGAATTGTAATCTTTTTCCCCCTCAGATCACAAAGCATGAAAACACCCGCAAGACACAATAATTCTATGGGAAACTCATCACAACCATCACCTATGTTTTTCTCTGGACTAAGTGAGAACACACCCCCAAGGCCACTGATACCTCTGCAGGAAAAACGGCCCCTATCCTCAAATGGACCAACAACAAGTATTTCACATGAGGATAGACCACAGGAAACTCCACCTGAGGAGAACTTGGTCACCGAGCCATTACCTGAAGAGAAGGGTGCCATTCCACTCCAAGATCTTGATGATGAACCAGATATGATGAGGGAGGAGTCAGATACACCTTCAGAAGCCCAGTCAGAGGCAGACCTTGAGTGGCAAACAGAGCCACTTGAAGTTGCTCCTGCAAGCACTACTGAGGCTTCTGTAAATGTGCATGAATTTAAACAAACAACAGATGACAAACCCAGAGAGGCTGTGGAGAATATTGATGGGGAATTTGAACATGGTACACCGCTGAATTATTGCAGTGGAGGTGATGATCACAATGTTGATGAGAAGGTTTTGATTCCAGAAGAATGTGTGGGCATTGAGTATCAACCACAACCAAAACCACCTTCACCTGTGGAGGTGAGCGATGTTGACACAATGTCACCTCCCCCGCCATCTCCTCCCCCACCACCACCAGAAGATGAGGAAGATGATGAAATTCCAGGAGAGATCAGAGATGAAGGGGTTGGTCAGGAATTTCCATCACCACCACCAGAACTATTACCCTCACCACCACCTGAAATATTACCCTCACCACCACCTGAGTTGCTGAATGACTTTGAAAAGTAAGTTGATTAACTTAGTGGTTGGGTTAACTGGTTTCTGCAAATAATTATGTACACGAAGGGTATTTGAGCTTTGCTGCCATTGACAAAGGGCATTTTTGTGAGTAACTTACCTGGAACTGCACCAGGCAGACTGCTTTGCCTGTTGAAGCAAATCATTCAGAGAATTTTTTGTGTAACCCTGTACACCCTACATGTAACACCAGCATGTATATTCTCCATACTGCTCTCCATATGTTACCTACGATCATGACAAGGAGGTAATGTTTTACAATCAAAACCCTTTTCAACTGGCAATCATTTCCTCTCTTTTTGAAACCTTGATGTCTAATTCAGTGGCAATACTGTTAGGAAAAATAAGATGGTAGTCAATCCTTAGGGTGATAGGATTTAGCCAGTATATTTGACTGCTGAGTCCAGAACTCTGCCTTTTGATTTGTGGGTTATTGGATCTTTCAAAATCAAGAGAGATGAAGTTAGAAAAAACCAAAAAAGAAATAAATAGCTTGAAATAAAACAGAGGAAAGCAATTTCCTCCAAGACCAGACATCTAACTTCTACTATAAGTAAATTGTATGTCCTGATCTCCTTTGTTTAACCTAGTGAATCGTTGTTGCATTATGAGTTTGAGGAAAACTGTCACAATTTTACAATCTTTTAGTTCAGAGGAAGTTGAGCGTCCAATACCTGTTGTTCCACATAATGGATTCCAAGAAGAAAATCAAAAACTTTATGATAAGGAAGGGGAAAACAGGGAAGAAAAAAGAGATTCAGCAAAACTGAACATCACATGTAGCAGTATAGTCACTAAAGTACAGAATGGTGGAGTAACACGACATGGAAAAGGTGGGTACAAGTATTTTTTGGCACATGATTTCTTGATATAAGTTGAAAATGCAAGATACAGCAAGAACAATTATTGAGAGAGTAAAGCACAAAAAACTAATCGCGGACACAATAGGGCTGATGCAAATAGGACATAAAGCATCATGCAAGACCTGTGAGATCAATTAAGTTAGCAGGTGAATGCTGAAATTGTTGGAAGTTTGGTCAAAATCTGTTTTTGTCAATGTAGAACGTTCTCTAAAAACTAGAGATGAATATTGATAACCTCCAGCAATTTTTCAGGGGTGGGACTTAGTGGTTATTTGCAGTGTGGCTTTCTCAGTAAGCTTGATGATTAAGGGAATTTTGTCAGGTACATAGGCACAAGTGTTTGTAATGAGGCTTAATCATGCAACCTGCAATAGACTATGGGAAAAAAAAAAATTGATGTTTGTGCACCACGGGGAGCTCTTGGAGTGAGGTGCTCTCTTCACTCTAACTGCTGTAGTACATATTTATGGTGAGAATTTTGCTGGATTAAGTATGTGTAATTATCACAAGAAATATAATTACGCCTTTAATGCTACTTGGCTGAGTTAGATAAGAAAATCAACTTTATGTTACAGTGATTATGCCATTAAAAATATAAGTAAAATAAATTTGTTTCAAAGGATAAACAATACATACTACTGGAATATTAAATTAAAGTAAACCCTTGCATTTTAAATGTTAAGATGCTTTTACGAATAAACAGGTCAATGGTGTTTTTAGTTTAAAAATAGATTGTTCATCTTTCTTTTGCTCTATGAAGTAAACAGTAAACGAAAATTGTAAAGTAATTAATACATGTAGTAGCTTAAAAAAAGGCAACGTTTCGCAGTAGACTGATTTACTGATGCTGCATATTGTAAATGTTTTTAGAATGCTGTGCAAAACATAATTTATAAAGTAATATTTCAGTGGTGGTAAACATTTGCGTCAGTTTGCATTGTCATTCAAATGACTTTGGCTGAAAAGTTTTTACATAATTGTCAGAGTAATGACTGTACATCATCAACAGCAATTTCTGGCAAAAGAAAATTCATTGCAAGGATGATTTCTAAACTTTAGTAATTGTGTTGATGAGGGATGTCTTAAGATCCATCCTTGATATCATGAATATCAGTGTACGTCTCTTACTTTTAATTACTAACCTGTGTTATGGACACAGTTGATAACTAGTGAAGTGTCCAATTATTTCTTATACTATTGTTCTTTTTGCTGTCTTTGCTTGAATGACACGCTTCTCTGTCATTGAACCACTTTCATATGCATTCTCTTCAATACAACTCTTTCTCTCATGACTCTCCTTCACTCTCCCTGACATAATTCTTTTCTTCCAAATCTTTTTCTCTAGATTATGATGAAGTCTGTGGTCCTTGAAGTCAACAAACGACAAACACTGAGTAAACATGGTTTTCAAGATAACAAAGGACATTTTTTTTGCTAAGAAACCAATGAATGCTTAAGATGATAAATCACTTGCTATTGTTGGCAAAGACTGTATTCAAAACAAACACCTTTGCCAACATAGCTATTTGTACCGTAAAGATTTCAAATGTACGATAAATAAACTCAGTATTGGCGGAAATGCAGATGGTTAAAACTATGTTAATAATTTAAAGAATGTCGTCTTTGCTCGAATTCAAAAGCTAATCCATTTCCTGCCTCCGACTGGATTACACTAATAGATTGGTCTAACCTAAATACGGCTTAAACGCCCCTGAGGCGTGTCGTAATAAGAAAACAGACTTTAAATTTACGTGAGGTTTCTTGAGATCTTAATCTCAAGTCTTTTGTTTATTGTGAATTGTCATTGAATTAAAACCTCACGGTTTTACACCTTTTTTTAGCCCTTCAGACAAAAGTAAAGTGGTAGTTTTATGTAAGATGGTCATCATCTTCTGTGAACAAAGAAAAAATTGCAGCGTAATATTGTTAACTGAGCCGTAAGAATTCAGGGTAATATGGTATTGAAGCATTGCTCGTTGAGTATGTTGTTTTGATTAAATGTTTGATACTGGCCAATAAAGTATAACTTCTTTTACTATACATCTCACTATGTATACGCAAAGGTAACGCTAAAGAAATGAGACCAAACGGAGAGATTATTGAAGTCAGTTAATATTCTTGCGCGTACTCTGCATACTGCTTCATGTGCAGCCTTTGAACCAGTGCTTATTACAAGTTTTGTAATAACTAAGACAATCTAACCAAGAAATGTCTATTGTATTGGTTAATTAAGACAGTGATACATTGAAGTTGATAGTCACAGTTGCATATGCGCTCAAATGTAGATGATTTTTACTTGCGGGCTATACAATCCTAAGGAGTTAATATTACCTTTAACTTCTAAATTGTGTTGCGGTGTATATCTGCAACTTTGTACTTCTCAGTGCTGTTGTTATCATATATATGACTCTGAGAGTTCTTAAAATAAAAAGCTGAAGTTATTTAAAAGTTACAGCTTTGTTTAACTAAGAATTTTACTGAATTTGTATAACTTGAAATGCTTAGGTACAGTACTTCGGATAGAGATTCAGTGCAATCGCAGTCCCTCCTTTAAGGACTCTCTTGCTTTCATACTTCCCTTCGTGGTTTTTTTTTTTTTTTTTTTTAACAAATCCTTGTAACTCCCCCGTGTCACAAGCTTGTAACAGAATCTCGTGGGTATTGTCTTGATGTAGTACAGAGTTTGATGCTGAATTCATGATTTATGATGAATTCGTAGCAGCTAGATAAAGTCTCCTTCGTAGCCGTTTTTTAGGGTTCGTGACACAGCTTATGGTCACGTTGGCTAGGAAGAGAACATTTTCATACACAGACTGTAGAGAGGATATCCATTCCTTTTAAAATAACATAATGGCTACGCATTCCCAGAGTGCAGTAGCCACAAAAATTGCCCGTGTATCGGGGTCTTCGATTAACTGAGGTGTGAAATTTAGATTACATCACTGAGCTTTTGATTCATTCTTGTAGCAAAAATGATGCAACGAGATTGACTGTAGATACAAATTTTTTGGTTTGTTTTTGTTTCCGCCGCGGAAACTATCACGGTTGCAGAGATCCCTATTCAAGAAACTCTTCATTACCTATGAAGAGTTTTAATTAGATCGTAGCGACAGATTTCCTCGCAATTATCTTCGTAACGACGATAAGAAATATCCACATTTTGGGGATGTCTGTTAATTTAAAGACTGACAAACCTAGTAACCTGAATTTTGGACTCCATCTGTGAGCCCTGACTTGGACAACTGCCTGGACATCTGGAAACCCTTGGTGTTTCGATTTCACTTAATTGAGCTTGGTAAATGGCCTCAAATTATTAGGTTAGTTCTTGACAGATATTTCCTCGACTGAGACTGTTATGTTGAAAGTACCCTTAAATTCTCCTCCTAAATGGTAACTGAACATATAAACTACAGAATATTACATAAAAGACACTGTCTAAAAAAGCTTTCTTTCTAACGATAGGAGTTACATTAAGTTTAAATTATCAGTTTACACTTTTGAGACCATGTATATCATTACCTTAATGTTTAGTTTGGCAAGGACACTGTATGGAGAAATTTGATTCTGATCACCCTTAGGGGTTAAAGAGTATGCAAGTATGCATCTCCCTTCCGCTGAATTCATCTTGTGTCTCATTTCAGGTAGCAGAGGGTCTCGTCACAGCACAGACAGCGGTGCAACATCAGACTCTGGAGAAGCAAGGGATACTATGTATGACGAGCTGTCGTCTCCATTCCGAAGTGACATTGAAACATCGCCCCCAGTGTCTCCCACCTCACCAATTTCATTTCAAAAGGGTGCTTACATCTCCAAGGTAAAGGCTGAATCTACTCATTTACTGAATGGCGGTGCTGGAAGGGAAATTATCTGGCTCTAGGTGAGAAAGTACGTACCGAGCGCAACGAGGTCTTCATGTGATGATCGAGAGCCAAATATTTTCCTGTCCAGTGGGACCAAACTCGTCCAAGGAGCATTTTCAAGACGGCCGCTCTTCGGGAAATAATTATACTAAAAGTATGATTTTGTATTGATCTTTAGGAATTGTACAGCGCAGCTCACAATGTCGCCAGAGAACTGTTGAACACGGAGAGAACGTATGTATATACATGAAGTTACAACTAAAAAGACACAGACTGCACTCTAAACATTTGAGGAAAAATAATGTAAATCCCTCTTATTTGTGATTCGGAATTTTTTACTTCCAATATTTTTAATACAACTTTGTTACCCCGATTTTACTTTGTCTTTTTCCTACCTGTGTCAGCTTGGCGCATATAATGCAAAACTATTCACTGATTTTTTCCGTCATTGATAGATTTGTAAAAGACCTGGAAGTTATCACCATTGTAAGTAGCAAGCTTTATCTTTGTTACTCTCTTTCTCTACCTGAGACTACTTAACTGCAATTAGCGGTCAATCGATACCTGTTATTAACCGAGGTCGAGGTCCTTACCGTTTGTTACTGAGTTCGTTAAAAAAAAAGAGGTTCCTCAATTTACAGTACGAACCGATAAAACGAAATTAGTAAAATATTGATTTTATATCTTGGTTGAAAAAGAGGGGGAATATTTAATTTCGAACAAACTTTGAATTTAGCGGGCTATACAGTGAATTACGGCGCGCTAAATTGACCAATCACAGCGCACGTACTTACTGAGAGATATGATAAAGTCATGCGTACTCGACTAACGAAAGGCCTGCTTCGCAAATTATGCTGGAGTGTCCTTACACAAATAGTTTCTCGTTAATTGAAAAATGAAAGTTAATTGAGAAAATCTCATACCCGCCCTCCAGACTAAGAAATGCTTCCCAAGGTGTGCCACTCGAAGAGAAAAATATAATTTCAATTAGCCTTGATGAAATATTAATGAGAATGAATTCATTGCTGGAACATGAGGGACAGTCCTCATTCCATTGCCTTCGGAAAAAAAGTAGGTCTCGTGGCTCTCCTATGCAAAGGGTTTATTGCTGTCTCGCTTGATCAAGGCATATTAAATAGCTTTTATCGTCTGTTGTTTGTTGTTTTATTAGGCCTTTAGAGATGTTGTGAATGAAGACAGTATTCTTCCTGAGGAGAGAAGAAAGCTTCTGTTCTCTACATTTGATCCAATTTACGATTTCCACTGCTCATTCTTATCCGAGCTCGAACAGCGAATGAACCTGTGGTAAGATAATGTCGTCGTTAGTATTACAGAAGTGAGTTAAATTACTTCAGTTTGAAAGATTGTGTCCCAAACTTTCAAGGAAGTGCACGATGTTTTGTGAGGTATTTTGATTCAATTGTTGTTGTCAGCTTGTTTGTTCAATTGTCAGAATATCTTGCGTTTGGGTGCTCCACTGATATGGCTACGGGAAAAAAATTCCTTCATCGATACAACTGTGGTACACTATTTAGGAAAGGAAGTCAAGCCAATAGATTATCGCTACAGATTTGCGCTGTGGTGTGTTTCAGAGGTTTTTCACCTTAGAAGACACTCCTAAATTCAGACCAATGTCAGTATCTCAGCAATGCGCACTTACCCCTCCCCTAACCCAACATAATCCCAGTTTGTCATCAGTTGAACTGTTGTTGGGTTAGGGGAGGGGTAGGTGTGCAGTTGCTCAGATACTGGCGTTGATCCGTAAGCTCTGTCCCAGTCGTCAATTTGATGGTGGTGTTATTGTTTTTGAATGTTTAGGGATAAAAGTGGAGCGTCTAAAACGAACGAGAGTCCAAGAATGGGAGACCTGCTGCTACGTAACATGAAGCAGATAAAGGTAAGCGAGGACCTATCGGCATAAAGCTGGTAATTTTTAAGCCGTTTCTTCCATCATGGATGATAGTATGTGCTTAAACATTTGACAACGTGGAAGGAGTGTTCTGATTTGTAACTCAAACTCCGAATGTCCTTTGCTTTTCATCTCCGAGCAACTCGCGCGGGATTTGCGCCCGAAAATATTGCAGTCGTTGCAGGAATAAATGGATGAATTAAAGTACTCTTTTTGTGCTATGTGATCTCACTGTTTTGGTGTACTTTAAAACATCTATTTTCCCCACTACGGTGATCAGTTAATTATTTCCTGTTCACGCATGAATCGTGATGATCAAATTCTATGTTCATTTTACATATGAAAGCTTTGAGCCAAGGTTCACGGAGAACTGTTACTCTCACTTAGCGTGAAAATGAAAGGATCTTCTTTTGTCAGCGCGTCATAGATAGACAAATAAATGAGTGAAATTCCACTGAAGGCTTGACTTTCGCCAAGAACTTCATTTACTGTGGGCAGAGAGAACCATCGGCTACTTTGTAACACAATATCGAAACAGCTTGGGGGTATACAGTCAGAGATTGAAATGTTTCCTACTAACATGGAACAAGATTGTGATACTTGTTACACATTATTTTTCTGTTTTCGTGGGAGTTATCGTGGGTGTCTTGCTTGCAAACCCGTGTACTGAAGAAGTACGCGCACGTTCGTTCGTTGTATTTGTTCGTTCGTGCGTTCGCACTTTTACGGGTTTATTCATTCAAGTTTGTCGTAAAATTTTTAATTCATTCAAGTTGGCAAGTTTGGTTTGGAGAATTCTCATCTTTATGATATGTAGTCTACTCTGTTTCTAAATTTTATTGTTAATTTATTGTCTACTTTACTCTACCTTTGACTAGCGATACCTACACCATGTGAAGAGACACGCCCAAGTGATGCTTGAATTAGAGGATGCAACAAATAACTATAGAGACTTTGAGGTCGCCTACAAAGAGTTCGAGGTGTGCTCTTTATTGATAATGTTTTTATGTGCCCTTGTCGATGTCTCATTTTATTGGTTCCTCTTAAACAATTAAACCTTATTTTCCTCTTTTTTGTAGACTCAAAAAGTTTGTTACCTGCCATTCAGTGCTTTCATCTTGAAGCCATCGCAAAGAATAGTTCATTACAAATCTCTTCTAGAGAGTAAGTCAAAGAAAACTTATGACAAATGCTATCCGTATATAGTACAGCCAAGGCTATACCAACGGCCAATTACAAATAATTTAAAAAAGAACGAGATTGCTCGAAATAAGGAAAAGCAATCTGCTTCATACAGTTTGCTTTCTTCAATAAAGTGTGTCCGAGGGACATTTGAATTTTGGTCTCCGTTCTGTTTATTTGTGAAATAATTCTTTTTCCTCTTTTCAGGACTTTTAAAGTTTTATCCCACTGAACACGTCGACCATAAGGACACTCAAAGTAAGTAAACTTAACTTTGGTTTGGCTCTACAGCCATTTGGTCCATGAGTGGTTTGGTGGTTAAGATGAGCAGAGTCCAAGTGTTAATCCGTTACCTACTATCGTACTGGAATTTATTTTTCAAACGATTTTCCTTTATATTCTACGTTAGCTTAAGATATTTCTTTTACGTTTATCCCTCCTTAACCTATCGTGATTCTCTCTTGTGGTTGCTATTCATATCCTTGTTAATCTATTTCTGGGAATTTTGCGTTTAACCAAGATACTCTTTGAAGCTTTATGTCAAAGTTTGCAAGGAAGTACATGTATATCGATTGAAATTGCAAGGAGAGGTTTCTTTTTATTCGATTGTTGAAGCTAAAGGATTTATCTCCACTTTCATGCGAATTTAATTTTGTTTAAAATTGTAGCTCTTTATGCGAATTACTAATGCACTTTCCCTTGCTGATACTTTTGCGAACTACCATGCTTTATCAACAATGGACATGAAATTATCTGAAATGAATTTGTGGAAAACATTTATTTTGTCTTTGGGAAAATTATTATTCTGATTTTTCTATTCCTTATCTAGGTGCCTTGGAGGAAGTGAACGAGGCAGTTAAAGCTGTAGAGGAAAGTATAAGGAAACTGGTGAGTTGAGTAGGAAACTGTTTACATTTTACATTGTTATTGTATCTGCGTTTGTATTGAACGTTCTTGTTTTTTTGGATAAAACATTTCTCCAGTCTGGCATATCAAACAATCTTGAAAGACTTAAAATTTTCCTATTCTCGTTGTTTGATAGGAAAACTTTCAGAAAATCATCGAGCTTGAAAGAGATTTGCTTGGAGTTGAAAATCTCGTGCAACCTGGAAGGGTAAGTGATTGGTTATACAAAAACGGGTGTATATGACTAATAAGTCAGGTTTTTTTACACAAAACAACAAAAAATAAATAAATAAAATAAACAAACAACCCAAAAACAAACAAAAGGAGGAGGACTCAGACCTCTTCAGGGCGTGAAATTAACTTTTTTTTCTGATAGCCACTTGGCTCCTAAATTCTTCAAAGTGGTAGCCAATTCAAAAAAAGTTGGTCGCCATTTTCAAAGACAAACAAAATCTTTCTTTACGCTGTCAGCGTTCTAGATAGACCCTCCAAAATTAAGTTAGGGAAAAGATCTTTAACGTGCTACAAAGTGGACACTAGGATAGATGATATACAACGTTCAAGCTCATCTAAATCCAAGATGGCGTCTAGTTATCGATCGAGATGCATGTGCTACGTTTTGGAAACAACTTAACGAGGATGTTTGCCGGATTTATCTTTGCAAATCTTTTTAATTCACTATATCTCTTGGTAAGGTTATGATGAAACGTTCTAGTCGCCAATTTGGCGACTAACTTTCAGGATTTGGTCGCCAAAGTGAAAAATTTAGGCGCATTGGCGCCTGTATTAGGCGCAATTTCACGCCCTGCTAGTTGTTTCCTATCATTTATGCCTCAGCGTGTGTTTGAGGGAGCCATTGTTCCCATGTTTTTATGTCTCTTTGTAGGAGTTTATCCGAGAGGGCTGTCTTCAGAAAATTGACAGGAAAGGTCCACAACCAAGGATGTTTTTCTTGGTAAGAGAACACTCTTTGTTCACGTTTCAATGCAATATATGTTCTTGACATCAATTTAAAATCTTGTTGTGTTCTTCGTGGCAGTTTTCCGATATTCTCCTCTACACGTTCAAAGGCGTCACGTTAACAAACCAGTTTAGAGTGCGGGGCCAGATCCCTCTGGATACCATACGGGTATGTTCTATTAATTGCTGGTTTGATCTGCCACTGATTTACATTAGGAAAGGGTAGCGCAGTGTTAAACCCCGAGATAATAACGTGTTCTGTGTGTTCAATTTACCCGTAGCTTGAAAACAGTGGTCCGGAGATGCACGGGTTATATTCATTTACTATCATCTCGGAAGCAAGAGAAATTCATTTAGCGGCAGGGTCAGAGGAGGAAAAATACAAATGGATGGAGGATCTGAAAAGAGCTGTAAAACAAGCTAGAGATCGGGTAAGCTATTCTTTTTGCTAATACTCTCCAAGATATGTAGGTAGGGAAATTGGCAAAAAATATACCCGATTGTTCAGGACTTTGAAACGGATTTTTGTTATCAGGGAGTCAAGACCAAGATTTTCTACTTTTCTAAAGTGGATGATCATTTGATTATGTTTGTTTTTATTCCTACGATATTTTGATTTGTTTTAGTCTTGCTGAAGTTCAAACATGTTAGTAACAAGGTTTTAATCCTTTCAGGTGTTTTGCGGAGCTTGCTCTCAGAAGAGATCCAACTTTGCCTACCGAACCCCCAAAATGAGATCAACTCGATTCCTATGCGAAGAATGCTACAGCGATCTAGAGCAAGGTAATGAATATTTTCATGCTATTTTGTCTTGACCCTCTACACCCTAAAATCAGTATGCATATTCTCCATACTGTTCTGTAAACATTTCCTAAGATGTCGACATGGAGAATTTGTTTAACAATCAAGATCTTCTTTAGTGGGTGATTATTTCCTTTATTCTCCCGACCTTAATGTTTGATTCAGGGGTGATATGGTAAGGAGAAATTAGATGCCAGTCACTCCTAGGGGTTAAAGGGTTAAAAAACCACCGAAAGAACTCATATCTAGTTGTCATGTTCTTTGTTGCTACCAGTCAGGAGATAACAGGGTTAAATTAGTAATATGGGCTGGAAAAAGTGTTTTTTTTTTTTAATTTAGTGGGGTAAAGGATTATCCACTTATCCTGTAAATAATGTTCTTTCGTCCCCCTTTGCAGAAGAATTACATAATGGAGACACTCCCTACCCCCAGATGGGATCAGGTGACAAGGTCCTGCCCCTACCCACCCCTGTGGAAATAACAGGAATAGCAGATGGTGATGGATCGGATGACGAGATCAATTCTAGTCCAGTGTCAAGCTTGGAAAGAAGACATGCGCACACTCACACCATGTCCACACGTAGAGTCTGTTGGCATAGAAATACTAGTATTAGTATGATTGAACATTCGCTTTCTGTGCGAGTAAGTGTAACTACTGTTTACGTGGGAAGTCTATTCCATTCCATTTTATTTATATAGGCCTGGTAGCCATTGCATGTACATTGTCATAGAAAAAAGCAAAAACAAAAAGAAACAAAAAAAAAAAAAAGGCCAAGAAGGAATTTATGGGCATGTTAAACTACCCGCTTGCTTCACGTGCGGCAGCCGAACGACTTAATCGGAATTTCTATCGAGAACCTATTCCAACTTCTTGAAAGTATGAGATGTTGTGAGGAATATATACACTAAGATTAAAAAAAAAAAACAGAGTGGGGTAAATTGTATTATAACAAGGTTCTTCTGAGAACAGGTCCTCACTCTATTCCTGTTTTATTTCAGAATCAGATGAGTGGAGAATTGCTGAGGAAATTCAAGACTGGAAATCGATGGCAGAAACTGTGGGTCGTGTTCACAAACTTCTGTCTTTTCTTCTACAAAACACACGAGGTATAAGTGTGCATCCATCGGAAAAGTTTGCTATTCTTCAACTTTTATTGTTTTAAGAAAAATACATGTTCATACATATTTGTGTGGTTTTTTTATGGGAGGTTATCTATCAGACATTGGCGCTCGCCAGTTGAAATTATCTATGTACTTATCTCTCTAATTGTTAAGTATTAACTCAATACTTTTTTTCCTAGGATGAGTTTCCATTGGCGAGCTTACCACTGATTGGTTACTCGGTTGGGAGACCAGTTGAGGTAATAATTTGGACATCAGCATATTTTTCCTCTGGAGCATAGCAACTCTGTAACTTTCTTCGCCATTAACTTGCCTTAGGCAGATAGGAGACTGTAGAGGACTTGAGATTGTTATAATACGGTTCTTATTGTTATTAAATTGCTATTAAATAGCTATTTCCGCAAGTGAGCAAGATGAGTCCAGCGCTCTAAATAGCTACCCGAAGAAAATCAAAACCAAGAAAACCAGGGCGAGTTTTTTCAATGCAATATGTGACAAAGCCAAGATCTTTGATTTTATAATTCGGCCACGTACAATACATCTTTGTTGTCCAAACTTTCTTTTACACGACGGCTCAGAAGTATCCAGATATCTTCACCGTATACTTGGTCTATATTACATATTTATTGACTTGCTGTCACTTTTTAGTGGGATACACAACGGCCTAACGGTGAGAGCGCGGAACTCCGGGTAGAGAGGTCTGGACTCAAGACTGGGCTAGTAACAATTCGGACTGGGTACCAGCGAACTAACCGTGAAGCCTGACGCAATGCTGGGCATGGAATAGAATTTCACTGAGGGGGGAGGGGGGGAAGGGAAAATTAGTAAAAATTAGTAATGCTAAGAGCTCCTTCAATGTAGAGATAAGCTCCAGCCTTGTGGGCTTCAAGACAAACTGAGCATTTGACCGTGACTCTTTTTTTCCTTTACAGGCCGATGGTATCGACAAGGACCTCGTTTTCAAGCTGCAGTACAAGACCCATGTGTACTTTTTCAGAGCCGAAAATGAATACACCTTCTACAGGTGCAGCAAAACGTATTAATATCATGTAAACCAAATTGTGTTTACCAGTAGCTTAAACCTTGACCACCGAAATGGTGTTACTTATTTTGTGATGTTTTATTCGCAATGTTTGTCAACGAAACCTCGTAAACAAAGTGTCAGCAAGAATGAAAACAGGTTGTTTCAGTAATGGAAGTGTCTGGTAAGAGCAGGAGGGAAAAAAACATACGCGTTCGTCAATTGAAGAGCTACTTTCTCTCTTGATATAAATTCATAAAGCATTTCTTTTGCGTCTTTGATTTCAGGTGGATGGAGGTGATTACAGGTGCAACCCAAAGCTCATCCAGAGTGCGTCTTTTCAGTCGTCAGATCAGTTCTGTTCATTAAGCAAGCTGCGATTTGGAACAAGCTTCTTCTTTGTTGTACGTTCACCCGAGGTATTTTATAATCGTTTTATTACATGCGTGCGCTGCTTTTCTAACGGGTGCCGCGAAGCCAATCTTGGAGAAAAGTGAGGTATTGTTCCTGAACAGTCTCTCAAGCTTTTTTACAATGGTGACTAGGATCGTAGCCAAAGCATTTCAAAACAAGCCAAACAAGGCTTTTTTACCGAAGGGATGCGTCTGCTACAAGCTGTGAATGTGACCCTTTGTAACCGTGGAGACGAGGAATAAGTTAAATTGCTGCAAGGATCAAGGGCAGGCCTTCGCCTCAACATAGGCCGGAGGATTTCTCCCCAACACTTCAAAAATTCAAAGGCATGGAATGGAAGTATCGTTTGACTTGTAATGATTTCCCAGGCGCGCATTCAAGCTGACCTAAAATGGGTTGTTGGTTCTCTTAAAGAGGCTGCAGTGAATCTCTCATCTTGAACGTCTCTTTCAATGTGGAATGGGCTTTGCAGCATCCAGTAATCTTCTCTTAATTGTACCCGATAGTGTTGTTGCTAAATGATTCAAGTAGTTGCCGCGAGTGAGACTTGGGTAATGGTTAGAGACCATATAACAGGGCATGATAAGCAGCAGTTATCTTGGCATTACTTCAACGCCAATTTTAAGAGTTCTTCTTAAAGAAACTTAATTACAAACACATTTTTTTTAAGAGGTCTATTTCCTACTGCTGAACACTATATTGTTATTTAGTCTCTCGCCTGGTACTCCATTAACTTACAAACTCCGAATTTCTTCTCCACAGTTCTTTCATTTTAGCTTCCCCCTCGTTTTCTTGTAAATTAATTGAGAGTTGGAGTTCTCTAAAGATAAAACTTGTACATAAGGATTTCTATTCTCCCCATCTGTTCTCATTAGAATGTATTGCAACTACGAGAAGTTTCATGTTAATCACTGATCGGAATGAAGACAAAGACATTTAAAAATGCGGGTGCGGAGGAAACAGTTTATATAACAATGTTTACAGTTTGGTTTTCGTTCTTGAGCGAGAAAGCCAATGAATTGTACAATTATAGAATATCTTACTTATTTTCAATTTTATTACCGATTTTAACAGAAATTGTCGTACGCCGGAAAGGGGTCTCGTGGTAGAGTTTAAGGTTCGGTATATTGAAAATACTTATACCCTCTGCGGCCTTGGGCGAATTACATAAGGGGAAATTTTAGACGTTGGGAAGGTGAAGAATTTTACATAAGCTAATTGTAGCTCGCATAAACATTTCCGTTGCAAAACTAATGAAAAGCTTAATTTTAGGTGTTTAATGCTACATCCGGATTTGATATTAATGTGGAAACTATTTTTCGCGTTGTTGGTGTAGCGAGAGTGCTTTTACGTTATTTGTATTTACCATCACGTTGAACTTGAGCCAAATTGCAAAATCTGTTTGAAAGTTACAATTCGACTGCTGAAGCAATGAACCTGAACGTAACATTACCCAAGTGACCTTGAAGGTATTAAGCAAGACAGTGGTTAAGTTAACCCTTTAACTCCCAAGATCTCTAGAGTAATTCTCCTTACTGTCTGGCATACAGTTCTTGTGATGTTAGTTTGGACAATTTGGTATTGGATTAACTCAAAATCCCCTAACTAGTATTTTTCGATATTCTCATCACTTGTCTGCCTGTTATTGTATTGATATTGTAAGGAGAAATTCTTTCTTCGTCATTTATGGGATTTAAAGGGTTATTGACGGATTCTGTGTTCGTAGTGACCACCCGAGCGGGAAAGATAAGCAGATCTTCCACACTCCGCTTTGCTGTCTTTTCTCTCGCCAGTGTGGATTTCTTTGGTGTAGTATTTTACTTCAGAATAATTTTTTCCTCAAGCTTGTTCGGTCTTGATGGCTGGTTATGGGACTCTACTTCGTCTCACGAACTTAGCCCATATCTTGCCATTCTGACCTCTATTTTGGACAACAATGGGCAGTACATTTGAGAGTAAGTTGTTACTCTATATCAACAAAGTGAAAAATAGTCTCAGACTCTCACAATAACGTCAGGCAACTTTCAAACTACGTGGAAACTTCGATTTAACGGCCAGAGACACTTAGAACTGGACATGACATGCAAATGTTACACACCCCGATTTAAACACGAAAGGATAAGGAGAATAAGACTCGGTTACTTAAACAGTTTGTAGAACTTATGAGAATGCTTCCAATCTTGTGAGTCTTATCAAAAAGCTGTCTCGGCACATTATTGCCCTCGGTTGCTATAAAAATTAAAAAAAAAAAAAAAAAGAAGGGAGTCTGTAACGCTTCTCAACCGTAGGTACATACATACATCTTGATACACCTATCAGGCAGTGAGAGCGAGCGTGCTCTATTAATTTTCTGTACATCGATATCCTTAATCTATCCTTCCTATATTAATTTGTTTTCGTTGCATGAGAGTTGCAACGTATTAAAGCTTTCGAATTCTTATTAAGGTGAAGGGTCTTCTAGCTGTAATTGAGAAAAGACCGAGGATAGGCCAAGATGTGTGTTTATTTCAAGTTAAAAGAGTCTCCTCACTATGCGCGATAATCTCGAGATGGTTGCGCCTCAAGGAGTTGTTATCTGAATGGGACTAGTCGGGCTGTCGTTTGGTATGTGTTATTTAGTAGCGTCGATGAAACTCTAGGGCAAGTTTTTGTTGTTTTTGTCTTTTTGTTTGTTTGTTTGATTACAGATTGTTAGTCTAAAACCAGGGTAAATTGCACCTTGGCAATTACACTTCTCGCTGTAAAGTTACTACAATAGTGGTTCGGTGAACGTGCAATTTTAACATTATTTACCTGTTTACCTGAGTGCTCTTCATGGCAGGGCTCTTCCATAATGAATTGGAAATTGCCCAATTGCCCAATTGCCGTGTCGCGCAAAGGTCGGTCTTATTGTTGATTTGGTCGAGGATCGAGATTTGGATCAAGCGATTGGATGCGAGAATCCGTTATAGCGTGGAGACTCTTTTTACTTGAAGGTTTGTCTTGCAGGTCAGAATTTTGTACAGAGTATTGAGATTATTCAGAAGAATGGCTAAATAAATGTTAAATTTATATTCTTTAGAGTTATTATTCATGTCGAGAAATTCATTGTAAGTTCAAATAAAGATTTGGACATAACAGAAATGAAGAAGCCGGCGAGTTCTTGCATTTTCTCATTGGGTGTCCAGTGTAGGGAGGCAACCACTGCTCTATTTATTTGATGTAGTAGGCGTTTGTTCCTTATTCGCTTTGACGAAGGGTTGTCGCTTGAAATGTCAGCTTCCCAAACTCTTTAAGGTGGCCAACTCAAATAATCAACTCATTTGACAAGACCATCTCATATTACCCCCCCCTTCCCGCCGTCACAGCATTACAATTTCTTTAGAAAGTCAACAGGCAAAGGCCAATTCGAAGAAAACAACCCCACAATGCCTCAGCAATTGTTTTACTCTAACAGAAAAAGGATAATCTGTTCATGTTGTCCTTCAGCAGCATAATTAAAAATATAGAACTGTTCTAATGAGGCGTTAAACTGCTGTTTAAAACGTAAAATCTAAAATCCAAACTTTCGCCGATGAACGGCACCATCAGGGATGAGAAATTTATGTAATACTTGGTGGCCAAGTGCAACTTTGCAAACTTAAACCTTTATATACGCATTGAACCACGCATTGTACCACGCAACCACTCTTCGAAATGTAAACTTCACATCGTTTTTTCATACTAAATTCAAAATTATTACCGGATGATGAGAAACCAAACCCTTAACACGTAATAAACTGAGCTCAACGTTTAAGTAAATCAGTAAATGGGCCCAGCTGTCGATTTGCGACTGATTATGAGTACGTTAATAAATGTTGCATGAATGCGCAAGTGTATGCGCGCACTTTTTTTCATAATAATCGGGATGGCCGTGCAGCGAGCGACGCATATTTTCTTGATGTCTTTTTACGCGCTTTTGGAAATCTTAGCTATCTTAGCTGTACCGGAAAGTTCGGCCGACTACTGTGGAAACGTGTTTGAAACTACAGCTAGTACGTGCGAGAAATATGTGATGTAATTTTCTTTTCTATTTTCGTTTCACAAATCAGTCTTACTCTTTCTTTAGACCGTGTTTTACTTGGTCATGTCATCGACTCTGTTCTTAACATCGATGAATTTGAGTGTCGGCTGAGGTGCATCGGCGAAAAGGGTTGCAAGTCGATTAATATACGTCGCAATGGGAACAAAAAGAATTTCTGTGAACTTAACAGCCAAAATCGACAGACCATGCCACAGGACTTCAGAGTGGAAAATAGTTCCACATATCATGGCTTTGTTCAGGTAAGCTATTTAAAAAGATGAGAAAATTAAGTTTCACAATATGCTGAGTTGGTTTGACAAACTTAATTCCACCCACGATGACACCGGGAGTTTTTGGGTTGTTAAGAGGAGTAGGTGTGGAGTTTTTATCAGTCTCTTAGCTCATTAGCTTGCGCTCTCCGTTTTGAAACTCCAACCAGAGCAGATACACCGATGTTAGGCTCGATATTTACATTGTGCGTACCGCATATCATTTCCATCACGTTTGTCAAAAACATTATTTGACAATGAAATTTTTGGCTAAGCTCACTTCAGATAATCAATCCTGTAAATAACCAATGTAATTTGCCCTTAAATATTGGTAAAATTAAAACTATTACTAAACTAGGGTTGAAAATAATTTATGCAGAATATTTCTTCGATCAGCTCAAGTTCAAGAGATCGCAACATTAGCTTCTAAACTTGCTTGGAGACACAATTTCAACGCAAAGAACTGCTGGGTAAACTGAGATGAGTTATCCTTTCTTCCTTTCAAGAGCCCTTTGAAAATCTCTCTTTCCTTTTTCTATACCCTTTAAATTGTGAATTCTTGGTCTATTTTGTAACTTTAACCTTACGGGCAGAGTATGAAAGAACCCCCTCCTGAAGCGACAAATCAAAGGAAACTTTTTATTGAAATTCAAAACATTTCATTTCATTTTTACAAAATTATGTTCTTCGAGATCCCACGTCCCCTTCGCCGAGACAATTCACTTCCAGGTAATCCTGATGATCAGTTTGAAGTTGATAATATGAAAGGTAAATTGCCCTAGCAAATTGAATTGTACAGATCGTTTGATATGGAATGAAACCTCTCCTTGATGAACACGATTTGCCGTTGATGCTCTGCTGTCAAAAACGGCAGGTGTTTTTACACAAAGAGGAAAAACTTGAAATTGATGAAAAGCAGAAGGAAAGGTATTAATAAAACAATGAGGTCTATTTTCGCAGGTATAAAGCCAAAGTCTTTTTGCCCGAGCTAGGCGAGGGTTAATACAACTCTAAAAGGGCTCAAAACATATTTATGCCCAAGAACAGAAACTCTTTTATGAAAGGTAAATTGCCCTGGCAAATTGAATTGTACAGATCGTTTGATATGGAATGAAACCTCTCCTTGATGAACACGATTTGCCATTGATGCTCCGCTGTCAAAAACGGCAGGTGTTTTTATGCAAAGAGGAAAAACTTGAAATTGTTGAAAAGCAGAAGGAAAGGTATTAATAAAATATGTGGTCTATTTTCGCAGGTATAAAGCCAAAGTCTTTTTGCCCGTACTTTCAGCACGAAAGAAGCTAGAGTTGCTCTCGGCTACGCCTCGAGCAACTCTTACGCATCTTTCGTGCTGCTCTCCAAACTTCCCAAGTGCTTCATATCTCGATGAACGCACAGCTGATTTTCGCGAGGGATTTGTTTGCTGACGTCATGAGCGTGCACAATAGGAATATGAAGCACGATCGCGCAATTGAATTTGATTAGACAAATTTACTAGCTATGTTATAAAACACTCTGAATAATCACACGAGAGAGAGAGGGCTTTTTTTCGTAGGGAGGCGAACTCTGACCAAAGCTGTTTTATTTAACCCTTTAACTCTCAAGATCTGATTGTTAATTCTCCTTTCTAGCTGCCACACATTTCCTTGTAAATAAGCTACAAGAATTTGGTGTTAGATCAAAATAACAACTTCTACCTGATACATTTGAGTATTCTCATTACCTGTTTGCTGGATAGTGAATGGATATTGAAGAGAGAAGTTACTCGTTAATCGCCTCTGGTAGTTAAAGGGTTAGGGAAGGAATTCGATGTGTACTGACCCAGCAGTGCTCAGATCTAGAGCTTAGTGCAATCTTATCATGACTCAAAATGCAACACAGATAGCAATGATAAACTCAGCAATCCAACGAATTTTGCGTCGATCGACTCGACAACAGAAGTTGAAAAGCTGACATAACATAAAGTTTAAGAACACAAATATTCTATTAACGGTAACCTTAACCTGTTACTGAAGTCTTTCGGAAGAAAATTACTCCTGAGAGTGCTCCGCCTGCGATAAAATCAACCCTTGGTTTTATATCCTCACACCTTTGCGTCATTTTAACTTGTGTCTGTCCACAAGACAAATCTTGTTTTTGAGCAGATATAAATCATTGGATCCTCCCTTCTGTCGCGCGTTTTCCTTAAACAACAGGAAAAGAATATGGTCTTTTGGTGTAACTTACTCAACTTCCACACACACAGGTTTCCTGTGTCGACATTTCCAGTGATAAAAAAAGACAAAGAAAGAGCAGACTGTGTCACCCAGGATACCATGGTGAACGATGTCAACCAGACCACAGTGAGTAGCAACAGCGTGTTTTTGGTGTGTACTTCTAAATTAGGAATACACCGCAAAGCATAAAACTGAATAACATAATTATATAAATTTTCTTTCTCAGAGGGCTTGTACTCCCATCATCCTGCTTCGTCTTGCAAAGAAATCCGAAACGCAGGACACTTTAAAACAGACGGGGAATACTGGATCGATCCCGAAAAGAATGGGAACGCTCTAAAGGTCTTCTGCGACATGACTACTGACGGAGGTAAGCTCAAATAAGCTCCATCCAACCGTTTCTGGCAAGGTCTTAAACAATGGATAATTAACCTTGGAGAACCTTTCGCGGAAATTTTCAATCTATCGCCATTTATAGTACTAGCGCTCAAGCCACACAAAAACAAGAAACTAAATTTCCTTTTTTTGGTCGCTAGATATTTTGTATGGATATGCAGAATGCGCAACATCTCTCCGGAAATAAAAAACTTCCCCCTCTTCTTCTCACATTATAATGCATAAATCATTATTATAAAGAAAAACCATGCATAAAACAAGCACAACACGCATTTACTTAGTGTTTTCTTTAATTCTGTTTACATATAATTTGATGTTTGTATCCTTTTTTCCTGCACTTTTTTGTTTTCTTTTAAACTACCTTTTTTCTATAAATTGTAAGTAGTGCACTCTATACACTGTAAACGTTTTCGTTTTTTTTTCTTTTCTTTTCTTTTTTCTTTTCTTTTACAATATATAGTTTTTATGTTTAGTCGCTCTATTTTTTAAAAAAGAAAAAAAGAAAAAGCTCCGTCCTGCTAAAGCTAAACCGTGCCCTCAACTTCGATGGAGCGGGGAAAATCGGGAGTAAGACAAGGTGTATATAGAAGATAAGAAGCATGTATAACTAAGAGATTAGTACAGCAAGGGGAATAGTTGTGTACTGTCCTTTTGGTCACCGAGGGAAACCTGTTTTGAAAGCAAAACATACTTTCCCGTTGCATGGAAACGATTTCAAAGCGAAACTGTATAGCCAAGGGACAGAAATAAACAATTAATTCGTTTTTTTTCAAATTTTACCAGGGCTTCATTTTCTTGAAACATATTATCTAAATTCCGCTTTATTTAAAACTTAGAGGAGGCTGCCTTCCTATTTCTAGCATTTTAATTGACATTTTCATAAATTTTCTAGGAACTGTCTCGACGCACGTAGTTTTAATTTTTGTTTTCTTTTTAGGGGGCTGGCTTCTTATATCGAGCATTGTCTTTGACACCGCTGCCCCAAATCAGATGACTGTAGTGCCATCATACCGTGGTATTAACACCAGTCAGATGGTGCTCACAAAAGGTGCCGTGAATGAGCTGAGATCACACTTGGGATTCACTCAAATACGATTCCACTGCAGTAAGCATTCGGGCCATATATTCCATGTGACCACAGCAGTTAACAGCACTGGGGAGGCTGTAGTCCAGTACTTCAGTGGTCAGACGGACGTCCAACCAGATGCTTGTGGCTCCTTTGTCAGAATGGATAATGACAACTCGATTATGTCAAGACAGTGTCATCAGTGGGGATAGGAAAATGGAGCGTACAAAGTCGGAAAATGGGGACATAGTCGAGATCAGGATAGGTTGTATATTTACCCTGCTTTTGTTTACCACGCACAACACTGGCATACCAGCCCGCATGGTACTAGGCATTGTGATGATGGCGGAAGGGGCAAAACTGCCGGTGATTTTTGGAAAATTTACGTGCGTTGAAAAGCTTCAGCGAAAGCAAAGCAACTTATCGAGAGCTGGATACATTATACCATTTCTAAATGATTGAATCGTTTAAGAAAGCACTCCGGACTTCTACTGGCATTTCAATAATCATAATAATCACAATTAAGCATTATAGAAGATGCTCCCGGCTATTTATGCTCTTAAACCACAATAGTTGTTATCGTCATTGCTACTTTTATTAATTTTATCGTTATTATTATTGTGAAATTGTAGCCATAATATTTGTTGTCGTCAGCGATATTGTTATTGTTCCTTTTATCAGTATATGAAATATACCATCATCATCATTATCATAATCATAATTTTTACTGCCTGAATAGAACCTTCAATGTTCCCATATTTAACTCAAGTCTAACACCCTTAACTCACCAAGTCGACGTTTATTTCTTTGTTTGTTTTTTTGAAACATACAAAGTTGTACTCAAAATCTCAGAATCTAACACTGCGGATGCGACAAAGAGAACGTAATGTGGAGGAATTCTGATCATAATCATAAAGCATTCGTGCATCCTTAACGCTAGGAAAATTTTCCAAAAAAATTACCGTTCATTTTGGAACTATCTATAGACTGAGCTGAGTTGCAACTTAGCCGACGCTCGTTTGGAGTCGAGGTGGGTTTGTAAGAGGTAATTGCTGGAATGGCTAAAGCGTAACTAAGCCTTTTTGTTGATTGGGAGTCATTGATTGGGAGTCATCGTTATTGTGGAACTGAAAGATCATCATTACTCACAAACTTGATTTAATTGAACAAATTAAAAAATTTAGAGACACAGCTTTCGAGAGGCTTAGACGTATGCGGTATGAGCCTGAGCAAGCAATGAGTATATTAGCTCGATGAACTTGCTTTTTATCGACCACACCCTTTATCAAATATAGAAGCCTCTCTGTTTATCAAATTATTTGCCCAAGATAAGAAACCCAGCCTCGTACGAAGTAGAATATCTGAGCTACTGAGCTTGCTTTGCAAATTCGAGGTGACTGACTGCAACGAAGAACTATATGCGTGAGCCTTTTTTGATGAATTATCTTTCAATTATCTTATCTCAAGAATTATCTCGCAGCACTAGTTTTTTCGGTCGGTACTGAAGGAAAAATCTTAGCTTTGCTTTGAAAAGTCCTGGGATAGAAACAAGTTGTTTTGATGGAGACGAAACATGACATCGTGCAAGCCTTAAGTATTTAACTCGAGTATCTTGTAATAATCCAAATTTTTGTACCAATCGTAGAAGCAGCTTTGTTGAAGAGATATTGAAGATAAGAAATGGGGCAACCTATTCCCTGTTCCAACTCCCTGGTTCTTCTGAACAAAGACTATTTTTGTCAAAAAAGCGGTAATTATGTGTGGTAATGTTGCATTATTTTTAATAGTACGGCTGAATATGCCGTTACGCTTTCATCGTAAAAGGTAATCAAACCGACCGTGAAATAAGTATTGCAGATCTAAAATCTCGTTAATATTTAAAGACTCAATTAAATTGAACGCATTGGACTTCATAGAAACTTACCTCTGATGAGGCTGAAAAAAAAGACTGTATGAGCTCGAGCGAGCAATGAGCATATTATCTTTAACACCCTTACCAAGTATGGAGGTATCTGTTCATGACAAATCATTTGACGCAATGATAAGAGACTTATTGTTCACGCCACTCAAACTCTGTTCCTTATGGACAATGGCTTTCATTACAAAAATTCAAGGGGAACTATGTGTAAATACTTTAAGGTAATTTTTTTGTGAAAGCACCCGCAGCTAAAGATTCAATACAAACGGTATTTTGGCACTCCATTATGGTTCAGGCAATGAAAACTTTGTGATTGCCTTGTTGAATAAGCAGCTTTTAGATGTTGAAGATAAGAAATCATATCAGACAGATAACGTATACTCTTTCTTTTTTTTCAGAAAAAAGGATTTTCATGTTAAACAATAAAAAACAATTACATGCAAGGTTATCGCAAAACTGGAAATGAAATGTGGAAAAATCACAGAACGCCAGTTCATAAAATGTTCATCGGGTATACTTCCCTTTAATCTTGTTGAAGTAACGGTCCAGTACCTCAAACCAGCGCAACTCTGTACCGAATTACATTATTCCCAACTGTGTAATGTAGACATTTTCTCGACTCACTAAAGGCCTACACTCCGGTTGTTCGAGGGGTGGGTACCGTTATCCACTGGATAAATCTCTGTTCGGTGGATAGCGCAGTGTGTATTTTAACATTAATCTGTTGGATAGCGATTTATCCGTGAGATAGCCTCATCTGCCTTCTGAGCAAACCGCAGCAACTGGGCTGAGAGGAACAACTGGCGCGCTTTCAAAATGAAACTTGCAAATACGTAGATTGGCAAGATTTTAAACCTGTCAGACTAGACAGCCATTATCGTTAATGGATTGGACTGGCATCTATGAAAACCTAAGAAAAAAAAAAGCAAAATGAAAAAAATCGATGTATATCTCAGTTTGTATAAATGGAATCCAACTGTCGATTACGCGAGCCGCGCAAACAGTAGGAGCTTTGTGTTTGGAACGCTGACTCCTGATAAAAGGGTCACGTTGGTACCTGAGCAAGAGTTAGCGTGCTGAGTTCTAAGATAAAACTCTTTACTTTTACACTAAGAGGTATAAATGAGTACCACCAAAATTGTCAGGGAAAAACTTAAGTCATTGAGGAGTTACCTTCTATAAGAACCAGCAGCCTGTCTACAAGGGGTAGTAATTTTGTAGTTGCCGAATACTCTGTCAACTGTGATAAGTTCAAGCGCTAGAGCACATTTTAATAGGGCTCTTGAGAAATAACGTTGGATGAATATTGAAAGCTTAAGAAGAACTTCAAAAGGGTGTGGTTCGAAATGGAAAATTTAGGGTTCTTAACGACTGGGCTATTTTTGGCCTCCTTTTTCTTAATATTTCATTGGCAGATTCCATGTTTTTTTTTTTCACTGGAATCCTCTTGGTAAGTTTGGTGTTCTAACGCTAATGAAAAGCAGCGTTTTACCTGCTCTTATTTGCGGTAACAGCACATCCTTCTACAATCTTTTTTACAATAAAGCATACACCCAACATTATATTCTTGCGGGGGATAAACAGGATCACGTCTTTCCTCTTCCAGGGCTCTGGCCTCCTGAAAATTTATCCCATGGCCACGAGTTTCTGCTAGATAAAATCGAAAAAGCACAGTAAACGTAGTGCAGGGTACTGGCTCCTCATTAGGGCAGACAAATTATTCGTACGAGCTCGTCACCGTTTGATAAAAAATCATTTCTCTCCTCAAACTGCTATAACAATCTGCGATGACGGACTGGCGGTCAAACATTAAACTGAAGCAGAAAGACTCTCCCACCAGATATACGTGCGCACTGCAGGTACTTTGTTGATTGAGGAAAACACTGCTCTCTTCTGTAAAACCCTCTTATTTTTAATTTCGAGCCACTTGAGTCAAATCTAAGTCTATTCTGACCGTAATTTGCCACGCACCTTTCGATCTGCGGGTAGAACGTGATGCCACGGAGACAAAAAGAAGTACGAGGACGAGAAATCCAGCAGTCTTCATGGTAAAGATTGTACTACTGACGAATCTGGGGAAGGCGTTGTAATAGATAGCGTTACGTAGGCAGGCCTAAACTTCTATATTTTTAAAGAGGGCAAAGCCTAAATTAACAGTCACGCTTTGAAATCGAAAGCGAACAATCTTTATGGTTTTAGCATAAATCTAATCGTCGTCCTCATTAGGTTGGTACTTAAAGGTCGACAGTAAAATGAAATGTCGAGAAAGCAAGAAAAGGAGCTGCTTATAGCTCTGATAAAAGGGAACTAAAAAGACGAAGCCGCTCTTGGTGTATATATAGAAACGATCGTAAATTTAAAATTGAAGAGAATACTTAAAAGGAGAAGAGTCATCGAAAAAATGTTAAATCGAGTCCTTACTTTACTTCCACTTGATCCGATTAGCACCTTCTTAACAGTATTTGGGCATTTTTTAATCAGATGCGATCCAATTTTCAACAAAATTCAAGCGAGCCAAGTGTAAAGTTACTCTTTTATCTTGGAATTATTGATATTATTATATAACTGAAATAGCTTTGTTCAGAAGACATTGACGATGATAAGCAGCTTGGGGCTTTTCACGTTCCATCTTCCCTAAAATCTTCAGGGCGAGATGGGAAGGGTACAGGATCATGCCCTGGTTGCAAAATTTCAAACAGTGATTTGTTGCGAGCGACTGAAATCTAGAGTGTATGTGCCCAAAATACAAATTTTCATCGCATAAGATACCATGATCTCTAAAATGAGCCACAGGGCTCTCCCACATTAAAGCAACCTGTTGGTCATGTGTTGATTCGAGCCATAGGGTATCCAATTAAACGATTTTTGCTTCCACAAGAGGTTTGGAATAGAATAGAACGTAATTTGAAGCAATTTTGATCCTAATCATGGAGAATCCATGTAAGTTTTCAATCACCACCTGTTCGTTTTAGGAACTGTCTTTTGACTAAGCTGGGCTATAGCAAGGAAAGAGTTTGGCAACGTAGCACGTTTGGCCTAGAGTACCATTTTGGTTAACATCGGGGATAGGAAGTAATTCGTACAAGTTAGCCAACAAGTTATGTTATAACAGAACCGAAATATCATAGTTCCTCGCAAAACCGCTCAGGAAAAACCGAAAGAGGAAGTCATTAACACAAACTTACTTTCGAAAAACACAAACTGTAGGAGCTCGAGAAAGAAATGATTTTATTACCTCGATTGGCCTGCAGTCAACAACACCTTTGCCAAATACAGAATCCTGTTTGTTCATTGGATATCAGTTAATGTACAAGATAATAAACCACAGCCACCCTTGAAATAGAATGCATCGATTGGCAGACGGATTGTGTTAAAATTAGTAGAACCAAATAGAATAGTTCACTAGATTGAATGGCTCGTTGTTGAATGGCTCATCAAATTGGTGAATGGCTCACCAAATTGAATGGGTCGTTGTTGAATGGTTCACTAAATTGAATGGCTCATTGTTGAATGGCTCACCAAATTAAATTGTTCTCCAATTTTCGTTTTTTGCGTCGCCACGAGCCAATATTGATTTTTTTGGGCTACACCACTAGTGTAGACAGCGATTGAAAGTGAAAATTGCATAGTTTTTATCGAGTGCGTTTCGACTGCAGTTATAGAGCTCACGGAATTCTCTATTGCTACAAGTTTTAAGATGTATTCAGTCATTTCACAGACAAAATTTGAAAACTTTACCTGAAATCTTATTCATATCAGCGTGATCAGAGGAGACCCCTCTTTTAGACCTTAATTCGCGTATCAAAAATTCACCAATTTGTAAGAAAGAATTCTCAAAATGTAGGCGTAAATTGGGCTTAAGAAAGCATATCAGAACATTCATGAAGAAGATCAAAATCAAAGAATAAAATTTGGTATTCCAGTCATTACAGACATATTTTGTAGGACGCACAAATGAACTGACTCTCCTTTCTGCAAAGGGGGGCGCAAAATTCAGAATTTGGACTATTTTGAGAAATTTTACATGGTTTAAATTCTCAATTTTAATGTGCAAAACATAAGAGAAAACTCTTTTTCGACGGGAAGTCGAAGGCCTCACAGCGAGGATGGCACTTAAACAAATCTTGCTTGCTGAAGGCAAGTTAAAGTTAAGAAGGCTGTTTAGTAAGATCACTTAAAGCACGCGTAAAAGAGGAAGACATGGCTCGTGACCGCCACCGTTTTTTCGGCCAGTGTAGATGATCGAAAAAGGGGGCTATTGAGAGAAGGCCGCTTCGAGGTGGTTATTTAAGACGAAGGAGTGAAAAATGGTTATTTTTTTTTAGTAAGGACAGACTATTTTGTCTCATCTTCTAACTGAAATAGATATAAATAGATATTGATAGATTTTTCTGCATTTATAAGTTATGTGTAGAATTACCACAATGATCATACGTGGAGTAAAAAAAAAGAGAGATGTCGTTTAGAGTTTAGAGGAAGTGCGATATTTTTCAATAGCCAACAGTAAAGAATATTTTAAGTTTAAAGTTTTGTGAGGACGTGCAAAGGTTTGCTTACAAAATGAAATTCCTTAACTTATCCTTCGGGAACATTCTGTTCGCTTCAAAGCAGAGAGGTTGTACATGAAAGTCTAACGGGCAACTGAACGTTTTTCCGAAGGAAGAGTAAAACTTTTAGACTTGTGGTTCGAATAAATAAAGTAAAATGGATTAATGTTGTTGGCAGTTCAATCCGTTGAGCGACCAGTTCTTCGCCGGGAATACTGCTTAGCTAATTAGCTTCCCAGAGATAAGCAAAACTTAAAACAATGATTATAATCATTACAGAGAAATATTCAAAGGCAAAGGTTTTTTTTCTAGGCTTCAAAATTTTGACAAGATAACTAAATATGCGCTAGCATCTATTTATCGTGTCTACCTTCAAGCTGCTAGCCTTATGCTTGATCTCTACGATCTGTGAAATTTCTGATAAAGATCGGACAGCTGATTTAACGCAGTTTTAAGTTACATTTGATGACAAATGACAATAACTTCACATCAAGCGTGAGAGTTTCTTGCGATTCGTGTTTGGACCAAAGAAATGGCTCTTTTGTTATGTCGAAGTTTAGGCTTAAGAAGTGAAGAAGTGGTCAATTGACACACGAAAGGCTTGTTTGGCAGATCCTGAGGAGCCACTTCTACTCTGTTGGACCCAGTCAAGGGATAGTTGATACATGCTCCGAGCAGACTTCTGCTGCCTAGCAAAATTTTGAGCGGAAAAGGCGATCGCAAGTGTGTGGGTTCTTTACGTTTCATGGTTGGACCGAAAGCAGAAACTTTTTTGATCTGCCGCTACGAAAAACTTCTCCTTTTTTAAGTCTTAATTTAGGCAGAAGGAGTGTTAGCGATAAAATCAAGAAAAAGTTAGTTTTTTAAATCTAATAGCGCCTTTTTCGCTCTCTGCTGGTTCCTGTCAGAAGAAACTTTGGTTACATATTCTAGGCAGACTTCTGCTACCTAGCAGTATTTTGAGCGGAAAACGTGATTGTCATGACACAATTCTTTGGCGAAAGACATTAAACGCACGAGTATAAAAGATGTTATACTCTTTAATTAATTGTCAACTCAACATTTTCACGAGCTTGAGTGCTAGCAGTCACTGTGGCTTCATTTGTTTAATAAAACTGTGTTATAAAAAAATAAGGACTGGTGTTATTTAGACCTCCTCACAATACTGTTAACCATCAAAAATTTAAAATAAATAAATGATGTTTCTACAAATTATGTTTGTTAAGCAGAATCAAACTAGTCTGATCTTAAGCAACTCTTCCAGAAATTCAGATCACTTAGAAGGACCGTCAATTAAGTGCCCTCGGTAACTAAACGCCTGAAATCCATCAGCCTCAAACATCTGCGTAAAAGTCATTAAAAAATGAGTGAGCAAAAATATAAATTGGGTGCAGGCGTCCACTCTGCAGCAGCATCAGGGGAAGAGTTACGAAATCATCCAGTCAGGTACTATTCATTTTTGTTCGCATTTCTGTTTTAATATCAATATTTAACTAAAATGAACGTGAAGCCTTTGTATCCAACCGAAGAAACAAAGATATGTTTTCCTATTGTCCCATGAAGTATGAGCAAGCCATTATTGTTGTTGTCGCGACGATGGAATCATATTTTTATGCAAAGTTCCTCTTGATAGAAAAATAACTCGCTCAAAACAACGACAATGAAAGACATCCAACATCCTGTGAAAATAGAGAATGGGCATGGACTTTAATTTGCTCTTGGGAGCAAAATCCAAAGATGTATTGTAGTGTCTCATAACTAATGATGAATGAGAGAAAGCCCATTTTTAATGTGATCCCTGCCGCCGGAAATCTCACTGCTCTGCTGATGAACGTTTTTTTTTTTATTGAAACACTCTGAATACTCTTAGAATTGATTTACCTCCCACTAAGAATGAGTCACTTGGGATTCCTGGGGCGGATGAATGTGTTTCCTTGAGATTCTCATTATAGGTAATGAACTATTTTTACTTCAGGCATAAATTTCTATTTTGTTCTTAACTTTGCTACACACATGCCAAGGCTTAAACAAAGTTGCCAAACTATTATTTTCCTGAACAGACAATCAGAAAGATGAAGGGAGTATTTCTGGTAACGATGATTGTTTTGGCCAATGTGTTCGCTTTTCCATCTCGCAAGGTAGGTTAACGCAATGCGTTAAAACTACACTTGCGAAACGGGTGCCATTACAAATGCGCGGTTAAGAGAACTATAATTTTTCCCCGTCACTAAAATGTGTTTGACAATTTTCTTCCTGGCATGGTTCGAGACTTCAGAGCCGGTAACATGTTTGTCTAAAAATTAGCCCACACATCTGTGCTAAGAAATTGACTACGAACACCCGAATTTGACAAAAACGAAACTCAGAAACCCAACAGCACATCTAAATCAACGCACGATTCACATACAGCTACTTCTACCTGCTACTCCGGTTATCGGCGCAATTAAATTAAGACAAAAAAAATTAAAAAGGGAAAGAAAATTAATTATAACAGTTTGAAACAAGAATGCCTCTTTGTGTTGCTCCTAAACAAAGATTCAAAATGATTCAATTAAAGAGATCGCCAAGGGGGTGGAAAGTAGAAATTAAGCGTCAGCTGCATGTTGCTGAGCATGATTCAAAATGGCTGCGTATGTCGAATTTGCTGACAACTTTTGAAAGGCTAGCTATAGGTTCAAAGAAATTGCCAAGAAATGGAAAGTGAGGATTGAGCCAAACTTAACATTAAGCGATCAGCTGCATGTTGCTAAGCAAGATTCAAAATGGAGGCGCATGTTGCTGATTTTCTATAACATTTGCAGTCAAACAATTTCTGAAAGGTTTGGTTGCTTTCTGGCGAAGATAAAAGTTATGTGGTTTACAGAGCACAGTATTCCTTCCTTGAGAACGTATAAAATAAAGAAACGTTAAGATATCCTAAAGGCATTTCTTAGCTCAATTTTTCATAATTACAACATGTTCGGGGTAAGCCGCTTTTCTTCCTAACGCGGGGGATCTTAACTTTCAAACGCGTAATTAATACAAGATATTTTCACTTTGAAATTTGTGATTACTAACTGGCACCTCACCTTCTTTTGCAGGATGCTCTAAAAATTATGAACAAAAAAGGTAAGGTCAAATAAAAGAAAACGAAAAATAGTGCCATTAGTGATACTAATGGCACTATTTGGTGATACTAATTAGACTTCTCCAGTCTTCACTTTGATTATCTTAATGATGCTGGTGATGATGTTTAATGTAAACAGCTGTTTGCAGGTTGCCGGAAAGTGCACGCGACAATCTAAAAAGGTATCTATGGGACGCTTTCAGGGCCAGGGAGTGTCATAAACCAGTTGCAACAGTGAACAAAACAACAGTTTGATAATAGGCTTGGTCAAACGAAAGGATGAATAAAGCTAATTGAAATACCCATTGTAATGTATGTTATAGTAGCTCATCTGTTTGAATTCAATGTTAATGTGTTTTGTGGTCTCAATGCAAAAATTACCTTCTACTGATCTAACTGTACGTTTTGGCCACTAAATGGGTACGAGGCCCCTCCCATCAAATAGAAGCGAGTTGGTAAACCCGTTCAAGATGGCGCCTTAATCTTGAGATCGCCTGGCCTCCAGATCAAAGCGATAAGAATAGTGTACTTTCTTTTAGATTCACAACAATTTATTTAACTTATCAGCCGATTTTTTTTCTGCTTAGCCGGGAATTGCACGGAAAAAATTCCGGATCCGTAAAGTCACAAGCTGAACCGGTTAAGGGCGCACGATTATCGAATCAGATCCGAGGAGTTTTTAAAGATTCCGGCCTGCTGAGATGCTTTAGAAAACAATAATTACCTTTGGCTAAAGGCGTTGTTCAAGACTTCATGCACAGTTTTTTTTCCACTCGGACCTCCCGCCCTGTAAATAACAAATACGTATTTTGTAATTTACAGATAACCTTGTACTCACCAAGAGAAACCTTGTGCAATTCCATAACATGATAACTTGTGCAACCTCGAGAACATCTGCAGATTACATTGATTATGGCTGTTACTGTGGCTACGGAGGAAAAGGGAAGCCCGCAGATGCTACTGACAGGCAAGTTTCACCACAGCAAAAACATCTGTAAAAATTAATACCTAATAAAACGTAAACTCAGGTATCGTCAAACTGTCAATCAATAGCATAATTTGATCTCAGAAGAGAGCTTATATTTGTTGTTTGTTTGGTGTCCTTTGTAGCTGTTGATTGGTCACATCACACCAAGCAGCCACCTCACTCCCTCTATGAGCTATTCAAATTTACAATACCCATCAAACTTTCTTTTAACCCCTAAACTCCCAGGAGTGACCAAAGCAGGATTTCTCCTTACTTTATCTAAACAATATCACGCAGACAAGTGATAAGAATAAAGAAAAATATCAATTATGCGATTACTAATTGATTCAATACCAAATTCTCCAAACTAACATGATGAGAATCATTTGGCAGACAGTGGGGAGAATTACCAATGAGATCTTGGGAGTTAAGGGGTTAAACAGAGTTACTTGACTCTTTGATGAAATACCTAGAAGTAGTGTGGATGGAAAATCAAACCAGTCTCTAACGTAAGGGTGATTGTTGAAAATCTTATATGTGTACAGTTCAGGATTTGCAATACTGGATCAAAAAACGGCCCCAAAACTATTATCGGAGGGAGTTACAAGATTTTCTTAGGCCCAAATCAACTTAATAACATTGTCTTGCAAAACTTTGTGTTTATTTGGATGTCTGTCATTGTATATTAAAGTGGCAAATGTCACTGGTGAGAAAATCTTTGACTGTTGAAATGCAAGAAAGATGTTTTTCACCACTGAAGCTAATTAATAGGCTCCAACATTTAAAGAATTAATGAAACCCCCTACCTTAACTCATTGAATTTAATGATAAATACACCCATTTCTAACCAATTTTTAGGTGCTGTAAAATTCATGACGAATGTTATGGCCGTATACAGAATCAAAACTCATGTTATTTCTCATTGGATGTTTATACAAGAATATACACCAGAGACAATACTTGCACTGGCTGTGGTAAGTTCTGATTGGGTAAAAACCTATGTTTTTAGACATAAAGTTTCTTCAGATCTTACAGAAAATATGATACAGAATTTTCATTACATTTGGAAAGGAGTTTTTACAAATGCAGTAATTAAGGATAAGTAGTTAGATATCTTTCACTTTAAGCTGTGGTAAGTTAATTCCAGCTAAGTGCATAACAACCTATGTTCTGAGATATTTTATTTCATGACATCCCAACCTGGTCTCTAGGAATCTAAGAAAGGGTTGTTCACTGCATTTAGAAAGGAATATTGACGAGAACAGTAATGGGAAAAGTTTTATCAAGTTTTCACTGTGGGCAAAAAAAAAAATCATCATATAGAGGAATAGTTCAATAAGTGTTTCATTGTTTCCTGAGGGTACAGTGCTGATTTAATCATGACTAAGGTTTTCTAGTTTTTTATTTATTTATTTATTTTTTGCTTACTTCACAAACCTCAGCTGATAAAGAAGGAACTTGTGAGAGAGCTGTTTGTGAATGTGATGGAGCAGCTGCAAAGTGTTTTGCTGAAAAGGAATACAACATAAAATATTTTAACTGGCCAGCAGAAAAGTGCTGATACAGACTGATCTTTGAGAAGGAGGTTACCACAACAAGAGGCTAGTCCAATCAAATATATTTACAAATGATAAACAAGATTAACAAGAGTCTTATGTAGGAAAAACTTAATCCTAACAGTAGTGAATTTTGCAGTGCCAGTAAAGTAATTTAGCAATCTAAAACTTTAAATTGAGAAAAATTTGTTCTCAAGAATAAAACATATGAAATGAATAATTTTTGACTTGTTCATAATGAGTGATGATATCTTTGCATTCACAAACAGAAATAAAAGTAATTGCAAAACTTCTGAATGTAAGCTGTAAAGGAAATTAGAAACCTATGAGAGCCAGTAGTTTAATTATAGTAATTTGCCGTATGAACGTGAGCTAGCGCCCGGCTAGCTCAGTCGGTAGAGCATGAGACTCTTAATCTCAGGGTCGTGGGTTCGAGCCCCACGTTGGGCGCTCAACACTTTTTTCGATTATTCTTTCCCTCTTTCTTTTTTTTTCTAGCACATTTTTCTTGATGAGAATAAAGCTGAAAACCGCTCTAAATTCACTACATACCACAATTGTCGATGTAGCCAAAATAAGCAACACTCTGGAGTGCGTGACACTATTAACCATAAAGAAATAAACCTAACTCTGCAAAACTGATAACTTCACGAGAAATAATTGAAAGAATAAATGAAATACTTATGAATGAAGGAAATATTTTTAAAGTTAATGTACAAGCCAAGATCAAGACTCAAAATTATAAGCCAAAAAACCAAACCACCAAGCTCATCAGGCAGCCGTCCGTGATTCCTCTCGGCTCTCGCGTGCGTGTATTTGATTAATTAATTCGATTGTTTTGACGCTTAAAAACATAATTAATCATTAAGAAAATTATTACTTCTCTGGATTCTCCTCTTTGGAGAGGAAAACGTTACATAGATCGAACAACAACATATCCTACTTAATTCTCCTCAGTGCAACAATTCGGTTGTACTTCTAACCTCATGATTACAATTTTGAACTAAATTTCGACAAACTGCAGCGACTTTTTCGCTACTTTCGCCGCATGTCGGCATCGTCCAAACAAGAAAAAGATCACGAAGAAACGGACGAAGGCGAGGCAAACGACACTTGCGACAACCACGGCAGCGGTTCTGAAAGCGAAGAAATTGACACTTCCAACAACTACTGCACCGGTCCTCATACCGATGACGGCAATGCAAAGGAAAAACAACCGGTTGAACGAGGATCCCAGCCAATTGACTTACCCCAATCTCCGCAAGAAGAGCCACCTGACGATACCAGTATGGTTTTAGCTCATTACGGCTATATCTTGGGTGATTCGCTGGGTAAAGGGTCCTATGCGGTTGTTAAAGTGGCTTTTTCCAAGAAGCTAAAGCGGCAAGTTGCCATCAAGATCATCATAAAGAAAAAGGCGCCGCAAGACTACATTACCAAGTTTTTACCACGCGAGATCGCTGTCATGAAAAAACTCAAGCATCCGAACATCATCGGACTTTACGAAGCCATTGAAACAAGCTCTCGGATCTATCTCGTAATAGATATGGCCGACGGGGGAGACCTGTTAGACTACATCAAAACGAACGGCCCGGTTTGCGAAAATGAAGCTCGTACGTTTTTTCGGCAGTTAATCGGTGCCTCAGAATACCTCCATAACTTGGACGTGGTTCACAGAGATCTGAAATGCGAGAACATTTTGCTGGATCGCAACAAAAATATATTACTCACAGATTTTGGTTTTGCAAGGACTGTGCCCATCGATTATGATACTGGAAAACGAAGTTTGAGTTTGACGTTCTGTGGATCCTACGCGTACGCGCCACCCGAAATTCTTCGTGGCGTTGCTTACGACGGAACGCGTTCTGATGTATGGAGTTTAGGGGTGGTATTATTTACAATGCTGTGTGCTAAATTACCGTACGATGACTCAAATCTCAAGGTGCTGATGGAGCAAGTAAGTATAAGGGGTTATGTATCAGAAAGAAATTTCTACAAGCAGGCAAGGGGAAATCAACATGCTGTATTTTGCTTCTGATTGATTGAGTGGGTGGTGTGAGTTTTCTAGACCAATCACGAGGCGAAGCAAAGAAAAAGCAACGCAATTCTGGATTATTTTTTATAATCGAAAATTGCTCTATCGACTTTGTTGTGAGAATCGTCGTTGGGGTCAATCAAAAGGAGGTGTGAGACTGCATGTCACCACTGACAGACTGCTTTCGAAACTAAAGTGAGAACTGTACATACATGGGTTCCGTATAGACATCGTTTCAGTTTCTATTTTTGTCGCTCATTCAGGTATCTAAGACTGTCGTTTTTCCAAAGAAGCGAAAAATTTCCGAGGAGGCCAGACACCTCATTTTAAAGATGCTTTGCGAAGAAAAGGAGAGGATTGACATCCCAGGAATAAAGGAACATCCTTGGTATCTTGGGAAAAAGATGAATGTTGAGCTAAAAGGAGACAAGGACAAGGAGGACCTTGGGAAGGACATATCTCACGATTCAGGGCTTGGAAGCGAGCCAGTACTTGGGAACGAGGGCCGATGATAACACGCAGGCTGCGTATATAGCAATAATCACAACTTGAAACGAACTGAAAGGAAAGAGTGTTTGGTAATATCAGCAAACTACGAGGGACTCGGAAAATAGAGGATGAGTTCTGCATGCAACTTTGGTAAAACAGCACTTTTTATTCGGCAGAAGCGGATTTTTATCACCGCCTCTAACTAGATATCCGTATATTGCATAATTGAGAGGATACCAAGTTTCTGCGAGCGACAACTAGAATCCACAGAGTGAATCATCATGTGGCAGGACTCGTCTGGGCATGGATCTGCCCACTTCTATGTGGAAAAAGTCAATTTGACTGAATACTACAAAGACGGCAAAAAACAAACAATGGAATATGTAATAAAAGCCATTAAGTCGTTCACTCCTTGCAATAAAACTCGATCAACTCACCTGTTGTCCAGTAACAGTCTATCAGTTATTGCCCTTGCAAGGCCGTAGTATAACCAACCGGGCACCATAAAACACTCAGCACAAGTATAACCAGGTAATTGTCTTAAGCAAACCAGCGAATCAAACAAAATAAGTCCATGATTCAAGACTGCGATTAACCCGACAGATTCAGAATCCATCCATCGTATGATGAGAGATGATCGACAGACTGCCTGGCGCAATCTCTAGACGCACTTAAACAATAAGATCGTTTAATTATGTGTATACTAAAACAGTGCCTAACGTTGAAGGCGCGCTCTGATTGGCTATTCTCCGAGCAAAGAGCGCAGGAATATATTGTAATTTGTAAAAAAATATTGTAATCGATGCCGGAACTTGAAATGAGTTAAAATCACCCTTTTGCTGTATATATATATATATATATTATCTCATTTTTTTAGTATATACTCAGAAACAACTATTCACCTCACCGCTTCGCAGCTCGGTATAAATATCCACCATAAGCCACCTCCATTTCGGTGAGTAGTTGTCAAAAGATTAAGAAAAAAGATAGTTAAAATAGAAATCGTCACTACTCTAGTCTTTAAGACAAGGCGCGAAGTGTATTGACACTCTGAACCGATATTTATTCACGCCCGAAACATTTCCTTCGAAAATATCTTTTATGGCTTGTCACGGTTGGCGGGTGAACTGAAATAAATGAGTCGTGAGATTCACTTAGCCTCTACAAACTCTACGTGTTCACGAAAACACTGCGTCTCTCTTATGCGACCCAAATGAATTGACTAAAAAAAGATTTAATCAAAGACACTGAAAACCAATCACGTCCAAAAACTCTAACCTCGACATTGGAAACTGACGTGGACATTTTTCGCGTACCTTTTGTTTGTTTTCGCCGAGTTTTAGTTAGTTGTTTTTGAGCTTTCGATCGCGTAAATTTGTTACCCCTTTGTTTGGAATTTTACAAATTTCCGGAGGTTTCATTTTTATAGCCAAATATTGTGGTTCATTTAACAAGTTTATGCATATTTTCTACGAAGTTTGGATTCCAGCTTCTTTTTTTCGTAACTTGATTTTTTACAGTCATTAGCTTTACACTATTCATGTAAGCAGTCAACAGATGTTGGCTAAATATTGATAGACTTATAATAGACCAAAAGACACTTAAACGACCCTGGCATTTGTGAAGGAGGAGTGGATCACATATCAAATTGAGAGGGCAACCACTTGCTCCATAAAATGCAGGCTTAAGTCATAATGAGCCTTGAGACTCATTTAACCCTCCACTGAATTACACAAAATGCAAACAGTACGTGGGATCATCTTATTTATAAGAAACATAACACAATACTTCTCATTATTTTGGGAGTGCTCGTCGGCTTCATTATCGGTTTATCGGTAAATAAGAGTGTGAACGATATTAAAGACCCAGACCTCAGCCTTCGAATTATAACCATCCTTTGGTCTTTTAAAAGCTTGAAGCTCAGTAGATTCTGTCTTATCGGTCATTGTTAAAACTGTCTTTGTTTTGATGCTACTTTTCGACATAAAAGAAGTATGTCGGACAAAAATATTCACTAAAAAATAAATATTTCTTTGCCAGCTTCAATAACGACAGGGGATTAATTTTAGATGATAAAACAAAAGATTATGTTCACAGAAATACCGTAGGTCTAGTACATTCGTTACATGAGGTCACACAACTCGGGTAATATTCACGGTGAAAATTTGCATATTTGAGCGGTCGAACGAAAAAAGTCATTTCTCGAAAACTAAAATATATTTTCACAAAAAGAACTACACCACAATTATTAGAGCATATTGGGCTACAAAGTATGAAAGTAGCAGAGAAAACGAATTTTGGGCCACTTGCCACAAAATTTCAAATTTGTTCGATGGATGCTGACATCCTCTCTTAATTCATAGGAAAAAAGTGTGACGGGATTCCAGCTTGTGCCTTTTTGGTGTTAGCTGAGTGCTACTACCTACTAGCAACTGAGTAAGGCAAATTTTAGAGGGTTCTTCTTTATAAAGAAATCATATCAAACTTACGTTTAACATCTGCCTCTATAGATTTTCGTGACATGTCACGCAGTCTGGGGTCAGTTAAAAACACGCTAATTTTCAAATATTTTCCTCTTTTTCGTGTATTTCATTTGAATTGCTATCTTTCTTACCTTCAGTTTATAAAACTAATGTACGTAAGCTTTCTATACCACTGCATTTGAAGGCAATCATTAAAATATTTCGTTCGGGTTTTTGAGACTTGTGGTTAACGATTCAGACATGTCGAAGAGGAGTTCACGCCACATGCAAGCAGTTGCCATGGAGTCTGGGGATATAACTCTAAAGCGCATGTCCAAAACTGGTAATTACCGCGAAATACGAAAAAAATAATAAATTTGGCGCAATTTGATGCATAATACATGAGATTTGGATATTGTTTGGGTTCGGGAAATGGGACTCGAAGTTTACGCGCTGGTGATTTTGTCTTCGCTGGTTCTTCTCACGGTGACAGTAGATGCACAAATTGCGTTAATCGAAGTGTATTCAAACCTCTTTCTTTTTCTTTTTAATTTTTTAAATTTTTTTTTTATCGAACTGATCTTTTTTTAATCAGCTATCTCATATATTCCCTGTCGAAGAAGCCTGATCAAGAGCCAAACGACGAAAGTGCTGATTCTGTGATTGCAGGAATCGTGAAAAAAATATTGAGGGAATCTGAGATTCGCGGAGTTGCCATAACTTCCAGAATTCTCACCGTCTTCAGAAAAAAGATTTCTCTCCTCCATTCAGCGTTCAAGAAAGCGTCAAAAAGTGGGGGGAAGAGTATAAAGAAGCTTATTGATTCGTGGAAAGCAAAAAAACTACTCCTTCAAAATTTTCTATCATAAGCTTGAAAGCAACTCATTAATTGAGGAAAACCAACAGCTTCGTGGGCAGAAAAGGAAAACTGAACTGGATTTAGCTGCAGAGCAGGCAAAGAGATTAAAAATTGAGCAGGAGCTTGAAGATGTTATTTGGGATTCGGAAAACAGAAAAGAACAATGCATATGAAACGATTTCATTGGTAGAAGAGGGAGAATTGCAACTACTGGAAATAGAGCCAAAAGAACAAGATATTGATGACATCAATATGTGGGTTTACTTAGAGGACAAATTTATTATATCTAATGAAGCTTGGCATGAGTTGGCCATGAAGTGTAAAGACGTGCCCACAAAATATAAAATATGCAAACACCTAGACAATCTAAATGCCGATTGGAATCTGAGAAGTACACCAGGGGAGGCAGAGGGACTTCAGATTTCTTTCAGGGAGAGTCTTGAGGAACAGATAAAAAGGCTGCAGAAAAATGGAGTATTGGATAAGGTTACTACTATTAAAGTAAAGTTCAGTGGTGATGGTACCAACACTGGGAAAAGGCTTAAACTTGAAAATGTCACATATACAATTTTGAATGAAAAGGATGCAGCAATGAATGAAAAAGGGAACTATGTTCTAGCAATAATTACGACAACAGAGAACTATAAAAATCTTAAAGAAAGCCTTGCTGATATAAATAATGAAATGTCAAATCTAAAAGAAATAACTGTAAATAGTCATAGGTATAGTATTGAGTATTTTTTGGGAGGAGACTGGAAGTTTCTAGCCTGTGTTTGTTGCAAATCAAATTTTGCTTGTATTTGGTGTAAGAGTCCAAGAAATGAAAGGTTTGACATCAGCAAAAAGTGGTCTATAACTGACAAATCTTCTTGGGCAAGAGACTCACAAGAAATAGGTAAGTATGCAAAATCTAATGAATGTACGAGATCCTCACAGCTAAGAACACTACTGAAACGAGTAGTTGAAAATAGGACCTGAAACAAATTCAGGCCCATACGGGATTTGAAGCCATGACCTCTGTGATATTTTTTTTTTTTTTCGTTTTTATTAAGGGTAGTGCCCCGCATGGGACTCCATGTCCCGTTCGCACTGACCCTTTTGGCGTATGTCTATCGATTTTTTGTCTCTTTCCTTGTATATGCATTCATTTTGAGCTTGTAGACGTACCCAATAAAGTTGTTAAATAAATACCGGTGCAGCGTTCAACCAACTGAGCTAACAAGCCAACTGGGAGCTGGTCAATATGTTGGGTCCAAATATACCATCCAAGTGATGAATAATGATTTTAGATATATGAAAACTCATATATTTGCACTGTGGTGAAGAAACGAATGTAAGAGATCCTCGCAGCTAAGAACACTACTGAAACGAGTAGTTGATAATAGGACGAATATATGAATTTTCTTAAATGTGGTGCAAATATATGAATTTTCATATATCTAAAATCATTCTTCATCACTATGCCAAATCTAAGTAATACAATTTTAAAACCAATCCGTTATTTGATTTTATTCCTATTGACCATGTAATAATTGATACACTACATTCATTTTTGAGAATATCTGATAATTTAATCGAAATTCTGATCAGGGAACTTTGCAGAAAAGATGCCATTGAAGAGGTATCTACTTTTTCAAATGGGTTTTGTCAAAATAGGTATAGACATATGGCCGGGTATGAGAAATTTGTAAAAGAACTTGTA